ACCGACCGAGGAGGTCGAAGAAAGGCGGAAAAAGCTGGTCCAGAAGCTAGAAAAAATATTCAACGATGAGTGGCCCGGCCATGATATTCGTGTGAATTTGTTTGGGTCCTCGGGCAATCTGCTATGTTCAGATGACTCGGATGGTATGTTCAAACAGTCGGCATGGAAACTAGTCGTGCATAACTAATGCTGGTTTGTTTCTAGTGGACATTTGCATTACTACTTCATGGCAAGAGTTGGAAGGAGTTTGCATGATAGCTGACCTCCTCGCAAGGCGTATGTTTCCACCTTCGAACCTACATGGAACAGTCTTCGCTAACACACACTATTCAGGCGGAATGGAAAAGGTTGTTTGCATATCTGCGGCCAAGGTGCCCATTGTCAAGATCTGGGATCCTGAGCTTGGCCTGGCCTGCGACATGAATGTGAACAACACTCTTGCCCTCGAAAATACCAGAATGGTTCGCATATACGTAGAAGCCGATCCTCGTGTTCGCCAATTGGCAATGATTATCAAATACTGGACCAGGAGGAGAATTATCAATGATGCTGGTGAGATGATGGAACCATACCTCTGGTATCTATAAAACATTGTTGCTGACATACCTCGTCCTCTTCAAACAGCTTTTGGTGGCACGTTGAGTTCTTACACGTGGATATGCCTTATTATCGCATTTCTTCAACTCCGAAATCCTGCAGTTCTTCCCGCATTGCATCAAATGCCATATAAGATGCCAAAATCAGATGGCACCCCTAGCGACTTTGCGGATAATCTCAAGAAGATCAAAGGATACGGCAGCAAAAATAAATCATCTGTCGCAGAGCTGTTGTTTCAATTTTTTCGATTCTACGCTCACGAATTCGATTACGACAAGCACGTGCTGACCATCAGGCAGGGAAAGCTTCTAACAAAGCAAGAAAAGAAGTGGAATTATGCCTTGAACAATCAATTATGTGTCGAGGAGCCTTTCAACGTTTCTCGAAATCTCGGAAATACTGCCGACGAATATGCGTTTCGAGGTCTACACTTGGAGCTGCGTCGCGCGTTTGATCTGCTTTCCGAGGCGAAGCTTGACGAGGCGTGCGAGCAATACGTATTTCCGAAGGAAGAGGAGCGCGTCTGGACTCGACCAGCCCCGCAGCCCCGTCCAGTGCTTCTGCGAAGCTCGTCACAGACACACTCTGGTCGAGGCGGGCGAGGACATCACAGAGGCGGCCGCCACAACAACAATTTCCACAGGGGCGGAGGGGGGTCGAATAGAAGAGCCTCTTCGAGTATACCGGCTTATGAGCAAAATATGTTTGTGCCATTGAGTATGCAGCAGGACATGTCATGGCTCCAGACACCTCAGTACCCGTTTCAATACACTCAGCAGGACCTCATGACGCAAATAGCCTATCAAGAGCAAATGCGACACTTTCACAACTTGTATGCGCAGGGGCCCTTCCTTCCGCACCAAGTGATTAGCCAGCAGCAGCAGCAGCAGCAGAGACTGTCTATCAACTGTGGTTCGGGTCAGCAGTCGTCGGACCGATCAAGAACAAACTCATTCGACAATGTTCCAGTCACCGCACCACTACGGCCAGAAATATATGCCCTGTATGGGATGAACATAGGCCACGCTTTTCTTCCACAAAATGGCTACGGATCTTACCCCTCGAGCCCTGCAACAACGAATAACAACGCAGCTCAAGACTTCCGCCGGTCCCTCCAAAGATCCACAATCTCTACTGAGGGAGGGGCATCGATGTCAAGTAGCTCGGTAAGGTCTCAGTCGCAACCAGCACAGAGGTCGCCGTCTGCCAATCCTGGTGCGGGCTATCAACTGAGCAGCCAAACTCCAGCCAGCGCAAAGTTGTCTGCACCGAGACAAACGAATGGCATAACAATCCCAAATTTTATGCCGGATGATGCTGATTTTGATGAGACACCCAAAGCCGCGTCTGAATCGCCAGAGTCTGTAGATGCCAAGTCCTCTGGCTTCTTCCAAGCCAGAAGCCTGAGTCCGACTAGACCTGCCCAATCTCAACAACAACAACAGCAGCAGCAGCAGCAGCAGCATTTGCCAAATGGCATTGCCTTTGGAGACCTGGCCACAAAGTCTTCAAGTCCTGAAAGACGACGGCTCTCAATAGAGCAGCTGCCTCAGACGCTGCTAGACCGAAGGATGCGCAGAGCATCCAGGTCTCCATCTCCCTTAGGGCACGCCCGTGCATTTTCCGTTGGTGTGACTTCTTCTGCCCCGTTGACATCTGCACCATTCCCCAGTAGTCAGGGCAGCAAAGCCTCGTCAAGACCACTGGTGGTAAACGGCTCAGGATTGAAGACTGCAGTAACCCCACCTGGTCCATCGCCCTCGAGTAGGGCAGAATCACTGGGATCTGAGGATTCACCAGTGGCCGGCATGGAGAATGCTTTGCATATCAGTACGGTCCCCGTCTGGCCCATGCAGCCTCCTGCCAACACGACATTGCAGCCGTCGGCACCATCCCGAATCCAACAAGCGCCTTCACCTTTGGCCTTGGACCGACCACCGATTGTAGTCAATGGATCCAGCGCGCCGTTGTCCATGCCGCACTGTGCAGAAGACGCTTCATTCAAAGACCGGATTGCGCTGATGAATTCTATCTACTTGACCAGTCAACCGAACCAGCAGGAAGCCCCCAATGGCGCCACTGCCCGTCTCTCGCCATCCGCCAGGCAACGCTTGATGTCTCGACAGCCTCAAAACGGTGTCATTGCTCCGCTGGATCTAGCAATTGGTGACAATAGGGTGGGCAAGCCTACGGCAATCGATGCTGCTCATCTCTCTCCTGTGTATGAAACGCGAACACCCTCGCCAACTACACTCCGGAAGCAAGAGCCAGCCGCATCGATGCCAACATGGCTGCCCAACAAGCCCCCCTACAAGGCTGAAGCAAGCAAGCCCACTCGCGTGGATCTTTCCAAGGAGGCGCTGCACAGCCCGGACCACCGGCGCCCTCCATTTGTCGACGCAGATAAGGGTCAGAAGAGTCAGAAACCACACGTGGCAGCAGCAAAGTCAGCGCCGCAGCGAGAAAACGGACATGTACGCGGCGCCAAGAGTGAGGGCGACGGCGGTTGGCAGAAGGCTGCTGGTAAAGGGAAGAAGAAGGCCCACAACACAGTTTCAACACAGCCCTCGCAAGCCGAACTCCCGCCGAAGAATGAATTCGAACGCAAAGGCGGTTAGACTTGGTGGATTGTTATCAGCTAATTATAATCAAACTGCCGCGGCCGAGGCGAATCTGAAGATGGTCAAATGCTGGTTGGATAGAGTCAACAGTGGTGGAGGATCTTGGTGCATTTTTTGTTTTGTTTTTGGAGCCGCAAAGAGATTCACAAAAGATGTCTGAGAAGAACAGGGTAGTGGTTGACATGATTTGCAGCTTACACAGCATCGAGTTGGACATGATTTGGGACGTGGCTAATCCCGACAATGACATGTACGAGGGTTGCTAGGGCGGAATTCGATGTAGAAGCATATGTACAATGCATGAAGCTGTTGCGGGAGATAAACAGAGGGGATTGAAAGTTGGGGATATGACAGCAACCCTTGGCGATCAGAGATGCGAAGTTGTATCGACATGGAATCAAATGGTGTGGTTGGATCGTGGGCGGGCAACCCAAGGGCATGCTGGGCGTATGATTACAAGGGTTAGCTGGCAGGCGTTTTGCATTCGAGAAGCCGTTGTCGCGCCCCTTTTTCTCTTTTTTATCATTTATATATACGGCATGGCGGTGTTTACGGAGGCATTGATTAATGTTTCTGATGTTTGTCGACCGCCAGGATGGAAACAGCCCTAGGATGGCTGCTAGCGGCATAGATAGGGATGTTACAAAGTTATGCACAAAAGATAGTTGAATCAAGAAAAGATAAATAACACGGGACGAGGCTTTGCAGATTCATGACATGCGTGTTGTGCACTGGGTGTTGGTTGTGACTTTGGGGCCATATGTCGCGGGAGGTGTCTCGGCCACGTTGGACATCGAGAGGCGATATGGAGTGCACGGCGTAGAAGCGATGTGTACCAATGACGAGCAGCAAGGGCCCAGGCCGATGGGGTCTGGTTGCGTTTATGAATCCAAGTCGCGGCTGGGGGCCAACGCAAGTCACTTGCGATGGGCGTTTGGTTGTTGGTTGTTGGTTGTACGTGTAAAAAGGGCGCTTGTGGTCCAGTTGGTGCTCCGCCGGGGATGTTGGTCATCTTCAGCGGGTACGTCTAGTACTAGTAGTAGTAGTAGTAGAATCAAGGAGAGAGCCATTTGATGTCGAAGCGAACACATGGAGCCTCGTGTTGGGCCGCGGGCAGCTAGGCGAGATGGTGACGGGTGGTATTGGGGGCCGGTGGCGGCTAGGGCGGTTCGTGGGCGGTTTATACTTGGCATCTGGCGACGAAGCGTCCTTGGGGGCTGACGATGTTGGACGAGACTTTTGCCATTGTTGATGGGCTGTGTTTGAGGACAAGGTTGGTCGTGAGGGTGGCGGATTGCGGATTTCTGTAGGGCGTTGGATGCTCGAGCTGTCGGTCGTGTTGGTGGGCGGGACGTTGCGCCTTTGTCTGGCTGGGGTTTGGGGGTCGGCCAGGCCAGGCCTTTTTCTGGGAAGAACATGGAATGTGTATATATGACGGGGCTGTGCGATGTTATACGGAGAGAAGATGTGTATCGTGCTCGGGGGTGTTGGTCGTGATTTATACCGGCACGGGTCATCTGGGGGTTGTGGCCGGGAGGGATTTGTCGACGGTGGATTCTTGCCGTTTTAGTCTCTGGGCTCTGTGTACGTCAGTCTATACATACTTTATGTATCTACTCATCACTGCAGATACATCTTCCAGTGGTACTTCAATGTTCTCTAAGAGCTCCATGTCAATGTTCTGCCAAAGTAGGACACCCTCGGCAATAGCAGACCGTCACGGCGGGGAAGACAATCAGAAAGTTCAAAGTTTAGACTCGCATTACGATATATGTCAATATGCTACTTGTCTTGGCCGGCACCCCGTCCAGCTCCATTCGTCGATCGGTACGCCGCCGCCCGCTGGGCCATGTAGTCCTCCGCGCAGACGGGACAGCCCGGAACGACGGGGTGTCCGTCGCAAGTCTCGACGAGGCCGGTGTATGTGCCGTGCTTGGGGTCCTTGGAACACGCGAATGTCGAGAGTGCAAATGTGACTCTTTTGGCGGCGCAGGTGGTCGAGTGCGCTGCGGTCGTTTGGCGCTTCATTTTTGACGCTTGCGGATGAATCCGGTAGACGATGGAGTAGTTCTGGTGACTTGACTTGACTTGACTTGGTATAAATGAGATTTGGGAAGGTTGAGTAGGAGACGGAGGCGGTTTGAGGGGAGCAGGTTGGATTGGAGCCGCGCGAGGGAGGTTCGACTGCCAGCGTCGCTTTAATATGTCGCGAGGAGGCCGAGTCGAGGGCCCGTTTGAACCTGGTGGCACGGTGATTGTGGTTTTTGTCGCTGGGCCGTCGTGGTTGTGAATCCGGCGGCCAAGGGTTGCATGTTCACGGCCTGGTGGGTGGCACAGCACCACTGTTCATGTTGTGCGCTTGTTCATGTGGGATTCTTTTGGAGGGGTGTCTTTTTAATGGCGGCCAGGAGGAGATGGACCTGGCACTTGAGACCTTGGGTTGTTCACTTGCTTAAATATGAGTCGGCTGGTTATGTCGTTGGGATGTCATTTGGGCACGTCTGCGGCGCGAACAATCAGCCTTTTCGGTATGAAGCAGCGCACTGATTTTCTGGTTCATAGGGCTTTGTATGCTGGTGTATTGCCTTTCGTGTGTGCTTTGTCTCTTTGGTGGGTGTGGTCGTGGCGTGCAAGGCATGATATTCTTTTATACCTGCTTGCGGGAGACTCTTGGACGGAGGATGACGAGGGGTCGGCAAGGTTGGAATGTCTCGCAGAGGTTATGACTGGCTGGTTGTGTTATGTGCGAGCTTGCATATTGATACTATGTGTATCCAATGTTAGCATTGAACATTAAATGGTGCACTGACTGCTTGAAGTTGAGTGTGTAACAGCCGGCTAAGACACAGCTAAACAGACACTATGGGATTTTCTCAATTCAACAGGCGCCCGAACTCATCCAAACCAGGAACGAAAAGATTGATATGGCAAAGACAGACCCATAGACTGGGTCGATGTATTCCAAAGTCGTGTGCAATGCTAGTCTGACGGAATCCATTCATCTGTATGGGACTGTGCTGTAACCGGGGTTGAGAAATTGGCCATCTTGATGCTATGAAGACGTATATTGCAAGATGCTTTTCTGTCGCCATATTCGCAATAGGATGCGATGAGATGAGCCAAAACTAAGACGATAAAGACATGGCACAGCTTCTTCTGGCAGTGGTAGTTTGTGGGGTTGAATAATACTATATAAATATCGACGGTACAAGGAGGTTAATATCCAAGGGTGACGACAAAATATAATAGCTCTGATGGCAGTAGCAGCGCTAGGTTGTCAGTCAATTTTCTGCCTTCAATCTTCCAACAAGATATACTGCGGCGCCTGTCGCATGGGACCTGAACCATGTCACTGGTCGTTCTCTACAATCGCTGCTTCATCATCTGAAGAAAAGTGCCTGCATGTCTCTGCAACTTATAGGAACTCGGCGCCCAAGAAGAACAACAGCACAGTCACAATACAGTCGCCGAGCTCAGTCGCTTCAACGAAAGGAACCGTCGAGGGGTTAGAAAGCGCGCTGCTTACAGCGGTTTAAATTCTCCAGCAGCAGCTACATATGCAGCTGAAAATTATGTCTCAGGCCTCAGTCGGCCTGTATCTGCCTATTACCCAAGTCCCAAAGACCACCACCGACTAAACCATAGCCAGCAACTTCCTCCCAGTACGCCCTTGTTGAGAAGAGAACAAAAATCGCGGCTCAGCCGCTACCAAAATAAAATAATAATAGGAGATTACAAAACCCCAAGTCGCGAGCATATGGCCCATTCACACGCCAAACGTGATCGACAGCCAAACTCGTCACTTGTAACCACCTGTTGGAAAAGCACGCTCCAGCGTCTGCAGCATCTGTCCATAATTCGCCGGCGCGGTTTGCACCCCCAGTGCTATCTTCTCATGGTTCTGCGCGTGGCCCAGGTAATATTGGAGGTTCGGAGTCTCCGGCAGGCGCTGCAGGTTCTCCCGTGTGACGGCCGGAGCAGAAGCCGCCGGCTGGGGAGGCGAAGCGTGCTGGCTAGATTCCGCCATGAGAATCACTACACAACTCAAACAAGACAAGAAGAAACAGGGGCAAGTCTTACTTTACCGAGTTCATGGTGAAATGGTCACTGGAAGAATAATAAAAGGTCTTGTTTGTGTCCTCAGGACTCTAGGAGACTCCCCGACGCGAGCATTTGTCCTATTTTATACGTCTGCACGTACGTACGTGATACGGTGACAAGACAGCAACACGCATGCCCTTTGATATCGGGTCATTTCCCTGAATTAACTACCCTTGCCGACCCTTACGCAGAAATCGGCGCAACAGGTCAATTGTCGGCGTCGGAAGGGCACGCTGGCGAGGGCATTCGGTCACCACGTCACCAGGCGATTGCCGTCCGCCTTCGAGGCCAGGCTGCGAGCCCTGATTTCCTGCAGGGAGTCCCAGGGCCTCCGTCGCTCCAACTGCTTCCATGTCTCTGGTCCTTGGCTCGCCTGGGCTGAAGTGGAGGTAGTTGCCGTACTGCTGATGCGGCTCTGTTTGCCACCCCCGGATACACGTCAACGCTGATGACTCTCGTTCAGCTTACTGCCTGCGTACGGAGCTCCTCTTACTCGAAGGCACAGCATTAAATGTACTATGTTGTGTGTATCTTTTATTATACCGTATTATATGATAGTATGTTATAATATAGTACCGAAAAAATACTTATTACAACTTTTTTCTGTTAAAAAACGAGGGATAGAATTGTCAGTAAACTATGTTCAGTGGCAAGTAAAACACTGCTAGAACGCTCCCGCCTAATCGCATTACCGTGTCCCTACATGTCATCCATCCTAATACCTGTCATAAGTTACCATATACCCGTGTCCATTTTATAGCCGAAGCCTCCTGGGCCCTGGCCGCGCGGCGGCTCAGCGTCCTGCTCTGCCTCTCATGTACTGACAGACGTGTTCCCGGACACACATTTTTCTGGTGTGTTTTGAGATTGTCCGGTCTACTAAACTCTCTGCCACAGCCTGAACACATAACCTTTTGCGGGAGATGCGTGGCTAGATGCTTTTTGAGGTAGACAGCCCGCTTGGCAGGTTTCCCTTTCGACTGGAACGAGCACTCTAGATGAGGACACCGGCCAGAGTCTGCCTCGTCCGGCCGAGAGCTCAATGACGGAGAAGCTTCCGGTAGCAAGCCGTGCATCGGCATTTGCCTCACCTCCCCGCCGCGGCGCGAGGCCGGTGGTGGTGCCCCGGAGTGGTCAGGCGCCATCCTGGATGTGGAAGCATCCCCCCCCAGCCGCGGCACTACACATCCATTCCGAGCCAGACCAAGTGTGCTGGGTCCGCTTTGCCCGGTCATAGACGTCTGAGGCCGTGGCCAACTAGAGCTTCGTTGTTTGTGGTGTACAAACGACGTTCCATCGCAGACGGCATCCTCAGGGGTCGTGGTGCTACCGTACAAGGGCGACGATATTTGACGGTACATGTTCATGCTCGTATAGGGATTGCTCGAAAACGACCCCAAACCGCAAGGATATTGCGGGGACGTTTGCTGGGCCATATTCCAAGACGCTTGCCCGGTGCCGCGGTCAAGATCGGAGTAGGCCGTCGGCAAAGACGTAGACCAGGACGAAGGGACTTCATTCGGTGTTATCGTCTGAAGAGAAGCAGGTTTGTTTTCTGAAGACATATGCCAAGGCTGCAATGCACTCTCCCCGTTTACATTTTCCACCGGTGACTCTGTGAATCCTTCGGAAAACATGGGCGAGATGTTGGACATGGAGACCGGGCTTAACCGGCCAGCACCAAAGGGCCCAGGAGTAGTAGGAAGCTCGGGAATCATATCTATGGCAGTGTCAGGGACACCGCGTGAAGGCGAATCACTCATCTCGTGTGGTGGACCAGAGCCCAGCTCTTGCGGCCCCGGAGAGGGAGGATACCCAATAGAGGAAGCCCGCCTAGAACTCGCAACACTTGGGATGACGGTGTGACGGGTTTCCGGAGAAGACGGCGCCGATGCCGGGCGACTACGGGAGAAGATATTGGTGAGTTTGCGCAGCCCCTTGCTCTTCCTTGGAGAGCAGGCTCCGGCCCGAACAGCATTGTCGCTGGCGCTGCAGAACGCGCCATTACCGCCCTGGAGCGTAAAGCAGTCGTACTTGCGGCAGCTGTTGCAGTACACCTTGGCGCCTGAGGAGAGAGAGCAGCCAGCGACGTGCCACATGAGGTCTTTGACGTCAGGAAAGTTCTCCTTGCAATCGCCAAATGGGCACGCCCAGTTGCTTCGGCCCCCGTGCAGCTTGCCGTCAAAGACGAGGAACTCCATCGCCAGCAGGGCAATGACTCGGGCCTTGGCGCAGCTATCGATTTGAGACGCAAGACCTCGGATTCTACCGCGGTTAGCCGTCACTTGAACGTGGTCTATTGCGGTCACATCAAGAAACCTACCGGCAGAAGTCTTGATCCTGGTGCTCAACAGCGACACCAGACTGATTACTCTGGCACGGAGACATTGGAGGGCTGTCGAGCATTCTGCCTCCCGAGAAACTTCCCGAGAAGCTCGCAACAGAAGACCTGGAGGAACCAAACATTTTCGTCTTGTAAATCAGCCACGATACTCGCAACGAGACTTGATGCAACGGACAACAGCGTCGAGTATAGCTTTCGGAATAAACGACGTCCAAAGGGAGGACATCTTGACAGAACGGCAGCCGGCGTCTGTATACTCATCCCAGGGCCGCCTCATTCAGTGCCAACTCGATTCCCTGAAAGGGCAACCGTCCCAGCACCAAGGCGTCCAACTTGTTCGCATCTTCCCATCCGTCACTAGAGCGAATGTGCTCATCTCGGTGAGGGACTCTCTCCGCCGAGCTGGACTTTTCCCTTTGGCCTACATATTCCCTGCATGCGGCAGGATCGAGGAGCCGAACTTGGAGTAGGAGCCTGGCGGGAAATGTAAAAAGGGCGTCGGAGGGGATCCGTGGTTTGCAAGGGGATCCGACGAGCGTCGGAGCCAATAGCCGTGCTCGGTAGCCCGAGGACGCCGCGCGGTCAAGCCTCTCCCGAGATCGCCGTCATCTGGTTGGCAAGCTCATGGCCGTCGTGGCCAGGCAACGATCCCCCCCGTTGCGCATATCGAGCTAGTTGCCTTGCTGGGCGACTGACTAATCAGGGATGGTGAGGCTCAACGAGGAACGAGGGGTACGTGGCGGGCAGAGGGAACGCGGCATCTCCTCTTGTCTCTGCCGCTGCCCCTGTTCCCTGAGGGCTCTCGGTCTGAAGAGTTGCGGCAGGGGTGTCTAAATGCCGCGTTTGCCATGAGGACTGTGTTGTCTTTTGCTCGTCGAGTGGCCCTCGGGTCGATGCGTGCGGGAGGAAGCAAGATGTTGAGAGAGCATTTGAGGAGAGAAGATGGCAACAAGACCCGTCCTTCCTTCCTATTCAGCCCATGCTGAGACCGGGACGCGCCACTCTTAAGTACTCGCTAACAAGGCTTCTGCTGCTGCGCTCGACAAATGGAAATGGTTTTGCTCAGCCACGGCTAGCGTATTCTTCTACCTGCGATTTGCTGCTATAAATACCTGTCCCGCCTTCTTTTGCCGTTTCCATAAATATGTTCCATGCAAATCCGCCGCCGAGAGCGAATCAGCTCGCTTCTGTTCATGCGGCACTGCATGAGGCTGCGGCTGTGCTAGGCATGCATCTTGTGGCAGCGAATCGTGTTATACGCTGCTACCGTGAGGCTTCATAGGACTGGGCGAGATGGTCGTCATTACACCGGTCTGGAAGGCTCTTTTTTGACTTTTCAGGCTGCTATCATGGTGGAGTTGATCTGGTGAGGCATTGGTATCTCAATATGCCTGGGAAATGCAGAGTAAGCGGAACTATGAGGCTTTGGGGGCCTCTGTATATCTTTGAGGCGGATGGGTAGATGAGGCATCAAATAATGCCTGATACGGTGACAAGGAGTCGAGGACAAACTCTACCAAGACAGACTGTACCTAGTATGTATGAAGAAGAATAGAACAAAGGGTATGACTTAGTCAAGACGAGCACACCACGCGGTAATAACATCCTATAAAGGGTTAAATCTAACAAAGCAAAAGAAGACTCATCTCAGATGGCCTAATTTCGGTCTCCAAGTTGACAAGTGTCCATGCTTCTGTATATAGGTTATCCGATGATGAGAAAAGCGTATTTGACATAAACCGGGCAGCATAATCAAACCTCGAGAGGGCTCCCGGGGAACAATATGCAAGACGCCAAACCGCGGTGTCTAAGAGCTTGCCGCAAGTCCCTGGGGGCAATGCTGACGGAGCGAGCACAGCCTGAAAACAGCCCAGGACAGAAAGGCTATGATCTGGAGCCCTAAGAGGGATCCTACTAGCAAGCCTAGCAGAATATAAAAGGGAGGACCCCATCTTAGAGCATTTATGGCGGACACAGCTAAACCGACGCCGAGCCCACACCTGAGGACAGCTTCGACCTGTCTTCTTACGCGGCATAGTTTTAAAAAGAAGGCGCAAATGATGAAGGCTTGAGAGAAGACCGGCAAGAGTATAAAAAAGTAGAGAATCTGATGCGTCAACAACACGACAAAATCGACTCCAGCGAGAATGGAGGCAAAGAAATAGAGTAGAGGGGCGGATGGAATGAGAATATCGGCAAAACCCAAAAGCCCTGGATAAGCATTCCGCCCAAGGTGGAGTATGCGAATAACTTCAGCATCGATATCCGATCTTGGCTGCAACTGTTCAACATGGCCAGGAGACTGGAGAATTTGGTAATGGTGCGAAGCAGGAGGTTCAACACGTGTCTCTTCTACATTGCCAGCCGGTGTTGCCGCCCTCACCAATATGGATGTTGATGAATGATCCGCAAGGGATCGATTCCGATCCCCGGGAAGTGAGGAGTGAGACTCTTCGAGTGGAATGATTTCAACTCCTGCGAGAGCACATTCGCCAGGTGGCGGCTGACATGGCGCAAGCTCGGGACCTTGCACCATGTCTGCAAGGTGTTAGATTCAGCCTGACCAAAGCAACTGTTTAAGAACTCACCACCTTGGATACATGTTTCGGCGCTTATATTGCCGTCCTCCTGAGTCCTATCTTGTCCTATCAAAGCATCAGCTAGAAATCCGTGTATGGGCTGAAAACAGAGACTACGCATACCCGGAGAGAGGCAGCAGCTATACATTAGCTGGGCGATGGAGAGAGCCGGACCAGCCAGGAGAACCAAAGAGATGACTTGGCCAAATGTCCAGTCGTTATCGCCTACATCTCCCGAGCGCCGTAAATTCGCCAAACGTGTCGATGCCCAGCTAGCAGAAAGCACAAGCGATGAAACCTAACTTAATTAGGAAACGTGGAGGTTCATAAAAGAAAGAACGACATGCCTCAGAGAGCATGGATGCATAGAGATCCAATAGAATCCGCAGCGCGAAATACAGGCTTGTTTGGAGGGGAATGAAAGCTCCTGCTACACATAACGCAACACTGGGTCGCATATTTTGCAGCCCTCGGGCCCAAGCATTGAGAAATTTATCATGGTTTCGATCCAGAAGCCGCCGAGAGAAGCGAGAGAGCACAGTAGATGAGGATTCGAAAAGCTTGGCGACTCGGACAAGATAGCCATAGGCTAGGAGGAGGAGGGTAAGGACCATGGACGCAAACGGTGTACCGTCCCGATCCATGCCGCCCTTGAAATAGCATACGGCAGGGGCAGAGTCGGAGAATTTCTCTGGCAGCTGATGGTCTCTAAAGTCGAAGTGACCCGTGGGAACAAACCCCACGAAGAGGAGGGCGAGCAGAGCAGTCATGAGTAATAGCCGGCCGGTTCGCGCCGTCGGATGTGCATGCAGATGGGCACGAAGACAGGTCAGGGCGGAAAGATGGGTGAGACATGAAAACCACGCAAGATAAAGGACGGTTTGCCAATGATAAGCGGACAGTCCACATGTAAGGGAATAATATCCGCTGACCATGATGGCAATACCGGTGATTAGTTGTGTGTCCGCCAACATGAGGATACACTGGGCTGTAATTAGCACAGGAACAGCTCTGTTTCGATGACGACGGTGACTTACCCTGTTGAATGTGCTCTCGAGCTGCAAGTGTCTCTCGGGCTTCAGACCCAAACGAGATCGCAGAATTCGAAACACTTGAAAGACAATTGCATCGACTGGGTTCGTTGATGGCGACGAGCTCGGGCCCGAACCTCGCTTGTTTGCGAATGGGCTCACCCCGGCATCAAATGCGAGAACATAGTAGAGCAGCACAAGCACGACACTCACCCATGCCATAATCGTGAAGCCGAGGAGAACCTAAGCCTGGGGTTAGATGGTTCGTGCTACACGGCTGTGACTGCGTACTCCCAGCCCGGATATATCTCCGTATGGCTCCAGCGGCACGACATCTGCCCCGCAAGTATAAGAGCACTTGGCCATGGGTGCTTTTGAGTTTCAGGCTTTGCGATCGTGTGAGGGATATAGAAGACAAATATTGAATGCAATGAGACGAACCCGAATGCAACTCTTGGCCGTCTATAAGGCTGCGCGATCATATGAGGGATATTCTGCAGCGTCCAGTCCCAGGGCGTGGTATGAGACGAAGGCGCAGGAGCCATCCGTCAGCACAAATTCAAGATTCGGATTTACGTGTGCTGGATCCTCTGTGGCTTGAAAGACGGATTGTTTGGCATTTGTCGACAAGGATGTGGTCACCAGTTGAAGTCATCCCAACAGCTATATGGGGTAGACGAACGCTTTCCAGTCCCTTGATGCAGGCGTAGGTATTGTGCATTTGCAAGCCATCTTCACAATACACACATAGGTGTACGATAGGGATGCACAGCTCATGGAATGCATCTGGATTTTTCCGCGCTTTCTTCTCTCCTCGGCCACACGGGCAGTTGACACGGCCGGAATTTGGGCCGAGTCGTATACAGCCGTCGTTTTGTAAGTCCCCGAGGCGTCCTCCAGGTGTTCCTTGGAAGTTTGAAAGAACATACACACCTACGTCATATGTTGGTGGTATACACCTCGGGTAGTGCGTGGTCTTACCTCTTTGCCCTTGGTCGCTTGCTGAGGCAAACAGGCATGGACACTTGCTGATTCCTTTGTGTCCATCCAAGCTGGAAGACACTACGGCTTCTCGTCTGCTGCACACAGCCCGAAAATAGGAATATGAAGCAACATGCCATGACCTACGCTCTCCGAGGTCCTGGTATAAATATGACGCCATTCCTAGCCTCGCATGTCACTGGTGCCGTCCCTTCCAAGTTCTTTCCAGGCCACTAAATCGTAATGCTGATATACATTTCCTCGCAGACGGAAAAAAAGTCAACTATGATGGGGCCGATATTGCGGGTAGTGAAGACCAACAAGATCTCTCACCAACTGATGATGCGGATGTGACAAGCCCGACAGCAAGCCTATTTTCTTCGTGGTCAGATGACTCGGATGTGTCATCATCAAAGTCATGCGATGAAGACGGCTCAGGTCCGCCATCATCAGAGTCAGGCGATGAAGACGACTCAACCTCGGCATCTGACAAGGACATGTCCCCTCTGGGATCAGCAAAGAGCGAGGTAGACGAGCTCCTTCGCCGACTAAGAGAGCTTACCGTGGCTATGAAAAAGTCTAAGCCAAATCCTAGGTTACAGGAAGCAGACACAACTTTCCAACCGACAGAGCATGAGGGGTTGCGCGACTACCTTGCCGGCATCGTTCTTGCGCGAGGCTCCGAAAAGGGCCAACAGCGTTGCGATGTTGGCCGCAAGTCGCTGACGCCTGTACAAGATCGCTTGATCATGGCTAATCTCAGACAGCGCCATAGGTTCTTGTTTGCACAACAGGATGCTGGAAATTTCGAGAGTGGTCCTCAGAACACCGGCCGCAAGTCCACGGGACCATTTCCCACTGCTAATATGCGCTATCTGCGTCCTCCAAGACTAGGGATAGGAGAGACGTGCTTTCGTTGCCCATATTGTTGCCAGATGCTTCCAGAAATGTTTCACATGAAAACCCATTGGAAGTAAGCAGATCCCTTGCCAGCTTGAGCCTCGCTCTGCGGCCACTTGATCTTTGCGAGTTGGCACTAACAGAGAGACAGGAAACACTTGATGGAAGACATATCCCCTTACACTTGTATCGTCGAAGGATGCGAACAAGAACATGTGTTATTCGTCACACGAGCCACGTGGATGAAGCACATTCTCGGGCATTCTCCGCAGTATTGGCGGTGTCAGGCTTGCAGTCTCCCAAACAAACCGCCACGCGAATTTTCATCTAAGGAACTCTATCTCAGTCACCTTAGGGAAGCTCACTGGAAGACAATCAGTGAATACATGTACCGCGACCTGGCCAAAGATGCTGCTAGGTCAGGACCTACAGGTATCAGTCAGTGTCCTCTTTGTAATGTGGATGAGCCGTCGGATTCTGGTGCTCTCTTCGACCACGTTTCCAGGCACATACGTTCATTTTCTTTGTTGTCTTTGCCGTGGTCACACGCCCGTCTATGGGCGTAGACGTCAACAGTTCTTGGTGTTCCGAAAGCTGCGTGAGGACGCTGATCGCCATGGGGCCTGGAGAGAAGTGGTGAAGGATGCCCGATGCTGTTATTTCCGGAAGCGGAGAGCGGGTAAATATATATCCAGTGCCGTGACCGACTGACCACTTGACACGCTGGTAACCAGACAGTCGCAGGTTGCCAACTTGGCAGCAATGGTCAAAGACTCAAAGTCTCAGTGCTGGTTGTCAGAAGGCTGGAGTGGCTAGGGCCGTACTGGCAGCGCTACCAGCATCCTTCCAACTCGTCCATGTATCAGGTGAGTCGGGCGGCGGATGGAATGCCCACCATTCTATGCAACGGTTGTGTTTGATAAGAGGACAGCCATTGACTCTGTCTACCAGGGCTAACTGCGTCTCGCACTAGCTTTAGGGTCTCAGCCGCAGCTGAAAGAAGGCTTCAGAAAGGACCTGCTTGCCGTTTTCTCTTATATATAAGCATTACGGGAGTCTAGTGCGAGGTTTATGCCCAGAACTTGCCAGCCATGAGAGGCTTACAGACGGGGTAGAGAGTACACATGAGAACCATCTCGCCACTACGATACTCATATGTCTCTGTCACTGTCCACATTTTCGTTTATTTTGGAATTCGCCGGGTAGAATAGGGTTCAGTGGCAGCATGGTTTCGCTGACCGTTCTGCTGGAATTTGCGTCATGCAGCCACAGCGGAGAAGACGCCCTAGCTATCTGAATCCGGGCATGTGACGTAACCGCCCAGTGCCTAATTCGTCTGAATAAAGAGATATTGGGGCTTAACATGGTCACTTCTTTCTGTCTCAATTAGAGGGATGAGCTTTGTGCCCCGCGCCGCAATGCCCTTTCTACAAATCGACTGAGTCGGTGGCAGAATCCAGCAACCACCGCATTACTTATAATAGCAGGAAAAGTTTTAGCAGGCGAATACTTTAAAAAAAGTCGAGTCAGTCTTGCTTCGGAAACAAATAAGCGCGTTAAATGTCACGTTTTTAGACTAAAAATTGCAGGAGCCTGTTCATTGCGGTTATCCACAACCAAGACCCCTTTTGTCAGCGGGCTGTGCAAAATACTATATTGCTCTGTTTTACCAACTACTTGTAACGAATGTATCGACCATGATGAAGTTAGTCGCCGACTTGGAACTCAAACGTTCAATGTTTTGTGATTGCGTTGCCTCCAATCCAGGAGCAAGCCTGATAAACTAAGCAGCCAACAGCAAACAAACGAAAGCCTCCCCTCCACGACCAACTTCGACTTCACAACTCATCGTCAACTGTCTCATTGCTGCCCTCCTCGGCCTGGATCGACTTGACAACATCATCTAGCCACGCAGCCATCCGGAAACCCGCACGAGCAATTTGCCGCTCGACAATCGGAGCAGCTTGTTGGTAGTATCCATTACTGAACAGATTCTTCTGCGTAATTTGCTTGGGGCCTAGTCCAGGCGGAAAGACTACCGCAAAACACGTTAGAAAAAACCTTCAAAGGAGTTTCCAAAGGGACTGTTCTCACCATGTGTGCACACATAATGGTTGGCTTCATTCGACCACGCCATGGCAGTCACATTCAGACTCCCAGGGTGGAAATTCTCCAGCCACCCTTTCTTGTCGGCCGCATATTTGCCACTGCTAATCTCCCTGGCTAGTTCATCTGCCCACCGGATGGCAGTCGACATTGGATCTTTGCCCAAATGTTGTGTGATTTCCTCGAGGATACTGGTATCCCAAACCGCATGCAAGTTATATTGGCGCTTCTGCCACCGGACCCTGATTTGCGTTCCACCTCTTGCGACATCTTCATTGTGCAACGGCTGGTGCAAGTCCCCGATGAAGTGGACCAGGAATTTAAACGCCCTCTCGCGCTCTATCCGAGGCAGGGCTCTGTCACGCGCCCGGTCAGTGTAGTTGGCCAACGCGCTGATAATACACCCTCCCTCCTTGCAGTCCCGCGCATAGTCGACCTGGCACGAGCCGCCGGCAGGGTCGTCGTGGGCATCGATGAAGTGGAAGTTGCCGGTATATTTCCATACCTCCAGGCCCCTGATCTGATCCGCCCACGTGGCTACTTTGGCAAGGTAGTCGTCGCCTTGGTCACGTAGAAGACGTTTGAGATAGTCCCTGGTTGGCGAGGAAACAAAGTGGCTGGCGAGATGTGCCGTGGTGTCGTGACCCAGAGCTAGGTGACGATGAGCCTAGATATGACTTTGGTCGCGGGGCGCGTTTTGGGAGCCCGACTTACCTCCCCAGGCTAAGGCTCCTGGGAGACATAGCAGCGGCAGGAAGAAGTAGTGAAGAGAAAGCTTCATGTTGAAGATGTATCGCAAATCAGTGCAAGTGTAGATGCAGCACCTTTTCCTGGGCAAATATGACGGCTTGCGTTGGATTTTATAAGCCAAAGGACTCAGGAGTGGTCTGCGGCCTAGATCCTTTTGGCTTGATGAGCTATGATATCTATCTCAGAACTCAAAAGCCACTATTGGAGGGCTGTAGAAAGATACTTTGAGACAAGAAACTCTATGGGAATTTGGACCTTGGATGCATGGCATGGTAAACTCGGCTGAAGGTTAACCTGCCAGCGCTGAAACATTGAACGCCACGTTGGCGCCGCCGAACAACCTAAACACAATCACTGCATAATTTTGTTGCTTTTTAAATTGCAGCATGGTTTGTCCATCCGAAAGCACAACGCCTCACGGTCATTCGTGGTCAGCATCTTTCGTCTGGCCCACTGTCAGCAACCAACTCCGAGCGTACACGTCATGAAATACGTTGGGCATAAAATTATCCTCCAATTCTGTGTCATTGCCCCCTTACGCTGTTCCTTTGCCGCACTATTAGTATCGAAATAAGCCGTAGGACTAGGCAAACCTACATCGTGAGAGGAATTTTCAGCATCACGCTCCGCAAAGATCACTACCGAGTGTGACTTTACAACAACTACCAAGTGTATTACATCATACGCGTGTATACTATTCTTTGCAATGTTATCAACCGTTGTTACCGAGGCGCCCGCTGCCAATATGACGCCCGACTTTGAAGTCAGGCTTCAACTCGACCCAGACAGGGTCCTCCACTCTAACCACCAGTTGATGGATCTGGTTCGGGACAATTTCTCAGTCAAAGACACAGTCAAAATGAATGTCCAGTTTCTCGACAAGTGCTCCAACGAAATATTCAAAGCTGGCTGGAACGTTCGACTGCGGGTGGTCCAACCAAAGCCCGAGATTGAGCTGACGTACAAGAAGCGATACGACATCGCGGGCGGCAACATTGAAGCTGCGCTCGCAAAAGCGAATCAAGACGGCTTCAACTCCAAATCTGACAAGTACGAGGCCCAAGTCGAATGGGGCTACAAGAAGCAGACACTCTCCGTCAGCCGTGGGAAAAAGGTCAGATACTCTGGAGACGGCGGGACAGACCTCCCTGGAACCGCGGCCTCGCGTGACATGCTTGTAGACGAGGCTCCGGGTAAATTTGACAACTACAAGGGGAAGAAATGGGGTACCAAGGCGTTGAAGGAGGCAGTGGTTTTTGGACCGGTCCACGCTACGCGGGCAATTGGCTCGTGGCGGGATCATAAATTGTATATTGAGGTTTGGCCCATTCGAAGTGCGGACGGATCGGGGTGGCAGTACTTTGTGGAGGCATCTTTTAAAGCGGGACGTCGTGATGAAGCAGAAGCAGCAAGGGGAACTCTTTTAAAGGAATTGCAGGACAAAGGTTGGTTTCTACCAGAAGATGCGTTGAAAACGAGCATTATCATGGAACGGTATGCGTGTCCATGAGTGTCTGGAGAGGCGAGTTGGAACAGAATGAGGACGGATGTCTCTCAAGTCGACTACAGCGTTGGTTCACTGAGACTCTTCTGAGTAAGTAGAAGAAATAACTGCGACGAGTTCTGCTTTCTGGTCTTGCTTGATGCTAGAATTCCGTATTGGTAAACCATCACTGCAACAGCTGGTACAAACCTTGAGCCAAAATGTATTGCTCAAGGGATTGAGTGTCGGTATCGTGCGAGTTGCGCTGGGGGAATGAAGACAACTCCCCGCCGTCTGGTGCTGCTGGACGAGTGGCCAGCACGAGAGAGGACGGCAATGAGTTTTTGTATAGACAGGACAAGGAAGCTCCTCCATGGCTGAAACCAGCGCAGATCTAGGCCACGGCAATGGGCTGAATCACCCGAGGCAGAATACCGGACTTACTGGAGATAGTGTGATCGAGGGCTTCGCCTGAACTTGCCATGGAAGAAATACAAGGCCAAGTAGTTGACCCAACGTCAAGTTTCGCATTTCTGCATAGGGCATGGAAACGTCTTTCAACATAGAGAGGGAGCGCGGTGTCTGCCAAGCGTAGGCCAACCTCTGAAACCCATCTCATTACAATGTCTGGCGACAAAGGCCTGTGTGTCAATGGATGCATGATCCAAGACATATTTCCGGACTTGGAAGAAGCCAGAACGTTGATGGCCCCGTACTTTGACGTTTGCATTGTCACATATCGATTCCTCCATCGACCCTCGGTGGACACCTGGCTATCCGCCATGGAAAGATATTGGCAGTTTCGACCCGGCTATATAAATCCCCAGCCACCAAAATGTCCACGGCGACCCTAGGTGGACGGAGGGCCGTGAGAAGCAGTTCGAAACACATCTCTTGCTTCTGCATGCATGCGAAAGCTCAAGGCTGTAGAAATCAGAATACAGACCGGGTTGATGCAAGAGACAGGTGGCCTCATTCAGCACGTCACAAATCTGACATCCAGTGACAAAGGCTGTCGATCCAAGGATCAGAATGAGAGCATCAGGTCTCGGGAGATTGACATGGATTACGGTCAGTGCTCGCTCGGGCTCGCTCAAGTTGCCCCGTGACGCTGACTTCTGCAGTTCATATTCCCCGAAACGGCTCTGGACTAGGCTGTGCATGATGGCTATGAGCGAACAATTAACCTACTACTAAAGCGTGACAAGAAATTTAGCCGCCTGGATACCCTCAATCTACAGTCCCTCTACTTTAGTGCCCGTATCGAAGACCTGGATAGGGTGAAAGAGTTGTCTAAAAAGGGTAGCTATCTCGAGATGCGCGACGACAAGGGACAAACTGCCCTATTTCATGCTGTGAAAGGAAGACCGGTACGCCATTATTCAGTGGCTGCTTAAGGAGGGTACGGAACTACGCGAAGCAGCGAGCAGTCACGGCGCAGATCAGTGCTGGTAACCGTGTTTGTAATATTGGTAGTAGTAGCGGCGACGGTGATGCGGGTGGCGAGAAAGGGGTCAAGGTGTGTAGTCGCCGTATTGTTGCAAAAGGACAGCAGCCTGCAGCGCCCAGGCCGTGTGGCATGTCCCCCAGCGTTGCCAATATCGAACAGGAAGCCTGGATATTCACCCCAGATTTTCCAACGGACGCTAGCTTCAGACAACCCACATCATTATCCTCTTCTCTCAACTAGACCTCGCGTGGCTGTCGCTGGTGGGATCCGATTCATCTACCGGGAGCTCCACAAATCCGGTCCCCACATCCGGAGACGTATCCGTAAATCCGCTCCGGAAATGTTTCCATGCCGGATATCGTCCAAGCAGAATGATATGGAGCGATGCGGAGTTGTGGAGCCAAATCTACTGGACACTAGTAGGTCGTGGTATATTGTTAAATACAAGGCAAGGTGCCTCGGTTGCAACACCTCTTGTCCTCTTGTGAATATCCTCGCCGTGTGGGCACCTGTGTACATGCTGATTCTTCACTGAGGACGGTAGATAGCCCGACAAACATATTGTGTCCTACCCACAATCAGGATTCGACTACACCAACTACCGCTCAGAAAGCTCGATGTTTTTGCTTGGAGGGCCCTTGTACTGGAAACCTCTTAGGTTAACATTATATGAATGCAGGCTGTGTCTCATTGACGAATGGAATGCTATGCCTCGGATGTGTTGGATGTGGAACTGTCAACTGATCGAGGTTGCCATGTTGGCTGGATGAGGACAGAGGAAACCACCCCTTGGCGCTGAATTCGTGAGAGATGATATGAGAGACAAGAAATCCATGTGAGCATTCGCATGAGGTTTCCCAAAACTTGATTAACACCACATGTGAATCAGCCAGGCACCGACGTCCTGGGACCGCCGGGGTCGCGCAGGTAAATCACCACCCAGGAAGTCAAATCCACTTCGACGGCATTTGTTATCAATGGGTTCACCGTTGGCCCTTGCCATGAATGCTAGTACATACAGTGCTAGTACTAGCTTGTGCAATGTGCGGGGTGTGCATCTTGGTGCCTGACAAATTAAAACCGCCATCCAATCAAATTCTCCTAAAGGCCGCTCCCCAGACTTGGGCCCCTGACAAGATGCAACCTGTCAATCCTTAATTCATTCAGGATTCAAATGATAGATTCAATGTTATACATGCTCATCTTCCCAGACCTCAGTTTTCCTTCACCTCACACCTCCTACCATGAGTCGGGAATGTGCCGCTTGTGACCGCAACCTCCCTCAATCATCCTACAAGGCCAACCAGTACGCCAAGGGTCCCGGCGTATCGCGATGCAAGCAATGCGTCCACGGCCATTATTCCGACAACCCATCCACAAGGCATTCCGACGCCGGCAGATTCAACAACTCCTTCCGAGCTCACATCCCAAACTCGGCCCTAGAGCAGCCATTTGCAGAGGGTGCTTTTCGCCGAGTGGCCAGAGGGACGTACACTTCAGGCCCTCGTCAAGGACAGGCATGTGTTGTCAAGTGGTTCAAGCGTGGCGCTGTCTTCTCGAAAGATTATTTCCATCTCGACATCAAGGCTGTAGACAAGGCCCTGGAGTTTGTCAACGGGTTCAATGATCTGGGCATCATCAACAAAACCGTCAAAATCAATGTACCTTCAGTGTGGCAATTCGACGACGACAATGACAACGAGTGGGCAGGCCAGAGCGTTCTATGCGAGCCATTTATCCAAAACTACCAAAAGTTCAACAGCAATAGCGGATGGACCGATGAGACTAGGGTATGGGGGGAAGTCATGCAGGCCCTCAGCCACTTTAGCTACCATGTGTCCGGCGGCTATTATGTTCTGTGCGACCTCCAAGGCGGCATCTACCGGCATCAGATGGTCCTCTCTGACCCTGTTATCCTGTCTCGGCATCGTCAATACGGCGTGACAGATCTTGGCCCCAAGGGCATCAGCTCGTTTTTCGCCCAGCATGTCTGCAACGACTTCTGTCGCCCGCACTGGACGCAGCCTGCCAACCCGCAGCAACACTTCCGCCCGATCCCGGGCACCAGTATGATGCGACGAACAGTGCCGACCGAACACTCACGGCCCCTTCGTACAAGGTTCCCCGACAGGTAGTGTAACTGGGGGCAAAAAGTGTTGTGAATATTTGTGAATATTATAACAAGTACGCCGCTGCTTGGGCGTGGATCAAGCGAGATCACGTGGGATTCCTTTTCATGAGGATAAGCTTTCTGGGTATGATATCAGCCATTCCATGTTGCTGTCTAGATATACTGGTGACAATGAGAGAGAAAGGACAGTATCTAGACAATAATCAAGTCTGGAAATTTAGAGATTGTAATGTAGCGGCCCCGAATAATAGCATAACCAGACTAGGCCTCGCAATCGCTCCAACTCTGTAATCAAAGGTAAGCCTGTCACATATTTCTATACCAACTGTAAAGCTGGGACGTGAGCAATAAAATGATGCGGCGTTGTAGTGCTTGGCTCGCAGTGCTTCACATTCGACAATATCCTAGTCCGTGAGGCCGAGGCAGGCACCAAAACGCGCGACAAGACCCCCTTTTTTTCATCGCGTATATTAATTAACCCGGCACCTGCCTCCTGCCTCTCGTCACCTGCCTCTTGTCTCTTGCCTCTCCTCTCCTCTCCTCTCCTCTCCTCTCCTCTTCTCGAGCACCTCAAGACGACAACTTGTTTCCCATCCAGAGCCCCCTTTCAGCGGACGCTTCTTGTCTCCGCAGCGCAGCAAAATGCCTCTCATCATGAATGCCGACGTAGACAAGCTCGATGGCCTGGCACCACGATCCTGCAAGCTGTGCCACAAGAAAGAGGGCGTCGCCCGCTGCTCGGCCTGCCTGGCAGTTTTCTACTGCGGGCGAGAATGCCAGGTCAAGGACCGTGATTTCCACAAGAAGCCGTGCACCCTCATCAAAAAGAACCGTCTTCGCTACAAGTCGGAGCAGAAGAAGCTGCGCGAGATGCCAAGCGGACCCTTCCTCCCCGACAACGTGTTCGAGGACCATGTCGGCCGCTTTTGGGGCATCTTGGGGACGCGCCCATACATGTGTGCGCGCTATGCATTGGTGGACGCGATGCTGATAACCTACGGTACCGCCGGCGGCCCCGTGGACGTGGTGCAGATGTCCCTGGACCATCTCCTCGACATGATGAGGCTGTGTCGCTCGGATAACCTGTGCCTGCGCAAACTGATACCCGGGCTATACATTCGACTCGGAAGGGACCAGGACGCCTACGACTTCATGAAGTGGTACGCGACTACCGGGCAGAAGACGGACTACAACTGGGGTAACATGGAAGAACCGTTCCTGGACACCAAGGACGCGGACGTGTTGGAAGCGCCGGTAAAGAGCTGGAAAGGCCGCGTTCTCGATCCGAACCATGTCGTGGCCGTGGTGCTCATCAAGGTGCGAATTATGCTCGACCTGCAGGTGATCCAGAACGCCAGGATTGCGGACCGCGGCGATAATCCGGAAGAAACCATCAAGATTATAGGGGGCAAGCTCGTCAGCCCTATTATTTCGTCACGGGCCGAGAGTTTGCTAGCTGAGCCGCAGGAGACAGCACGACTGGCTGGGAAAATCAAAAAACAAATCAAACAACTATACGACGCCGTCGGGTCATACAACCGGCACTTTTGGGACCTGCTGGTTGAGGATCCTGACTGTGGGGTTTTGCGCAGACCAGCCTCAAACCCGCCGCAGTCGAAGAACGAGGCTATAGAGGTAGTCAAATACAGCTATGCGTCATGGTATAAGACGCCTGGAGCAGTGAGCGTGCTTCGGAATCTGAGCGAGGAGGACTGAAATTCTGGCCGGTCGAGGATGAAAGTGAGTCGGTGACATTGTTGGGCGGATAACTTGCAACAAGAAAATGACAGTATGGGCGGAATTGAGAGGGCTTTTTGATGTTGAATCGGCTTACATGGAGAGGACTAGTATTGATATACGTGCTCCTCACAGGTGATAGTCTGACATAGATTCACCTTGATGCCGAGAGAAACCAGGTTGGTTCTTATTTTGGAACTATGCGTTTGCCCCCAGTGACGTGCGCGGTCATTCGTGCTCAAAGTGCCAAGGATTTCGCCCTACTAGACTAGACTACCATTTCAAATCCTGGAGAAGGTTTTCGTTACAAGACAACATTGAAGTCCACGATACTACCACCACCCCCTGCAACCTTTGAACATTATTACCCGTCCAACCAAGTAAGCAGCTAGGATTATCCCTCTACAGGGATAGAGAACCCCGCACGGCCCGGCCCTAGCTGGGGCAGCCAAATCGAAATAGACACATCATCGACTTGACACTTCAATGTTGTGGTTGACCGCTCAAGCCACACGGTTACGCCCTGTAGGGGTACCCTTCCGTCAAAACCTCTTACTACCACTTCTGATGCGTTGTGTATCTATTATCTGCAGGCCACCTTGGAGCCACTCGTCCAAGTGTTCAACATGCCATCTAAGGCAGCTGGAGCGGCGCCAGCTGGACATGGCATGAGATGGAAGTGATCGAGGCCCGCGGCCTTGAAGACAAAGAAAAGACGTCAAAAAACCCGCTCCACTTCTGCTTGGACCTTGCTCACGCCGTGAGTGACTCGACACAAAGAAGCCATTTTTCTTTAAGATCTTCCTGCGCCTGCTTTCCGGCAAATCTGTTGCCCAAGGACAAGTCAATCGCTTGAACCAGCCCCGCCCCTACATGCCAGCTACCTGACCTAACACTGAGGCTATCAGTCATCTTTCTGGCCATGATGGAATCTAAAATGAGGCAAAGACTATCGCTACAAGCTGTGAAAATCTACAGCGCTGGGCAGGCTAATCCCGACATTTCAGAGAATGCCACCCTGCTGCGAAAAGCCAACATCCGACGACTACTCTCTTCGACGAGCTGCCAGAATGGACAAAGGACAACGAGTACATTCGCTCCGGCTAGAAGCCTGAGACAAATTCGTACTGGGAATGCATCAAAAGCATGGGATAAATCCACAACGAATCCGGCAACATATACACCCGTCTCGTTGCGGCCATCTGAACGGTAGTGCTGGGGTCGTGGTGGAACGTATCCAGACACCGACTTTGATGACTGCATCGTCTTTTTTCTCTTCTTCCTTGGTGGTATAGTCTGCTATCTCCTCTCAACGGCGTACCATGTTCTTTCCAATCATTCACATGCGACGCACCTCTTTTGCCTTGAGCTAGATTTTCTCGGTGTCCTCACCGTCACTGCTGGATGCTTCCCGCCGGGCCTCTGGTACACGTTTCTGTGCGCTTCACGTCGAGTAAAGTTACTTGGATTGCAGTGAGTAGCCGTCCATGTTACAAACCTAGGTAGGTAGCTGATTGATTCATCTCAGGTCGATCTTGCCGCCCAAGTACTCGCCGCCAGCTCGCACTTTTTGTCAAGTCCTTCCAAGCCCCCAAAGTGCGACCGCTCCGTGGACTTGTCTTCTCCATCATGGCGTCTTCGGCATTATACCACCTCATCATCAAGATCTTTCAAGTCGGCTGGTCGCGTGCTGACGCCGAGTACGGCGCTTCACTTTACGCCTTGACTATTCTCATATATTTGTGCCCAGTGACCACGTACGCGGTACGTGTATTCTGTTGCTCCCTTCCTAGTCCTCAAGTGCATCGAATTGGAAAATTAAGCCTTGCTGAGATGCCATGTTGTGAAACGGCTGATTGACCGAGTCGTGGAAACTGCAGTGCTTTGACATCTGGGGCCATTCGCATCAAACATTCCACGTGGGAATGGCGATGGGGCTTTCAGTTCACTTTTTGGCATTCGTCGGGGCCTTGGATCAATCCTATGCTTTCAAGAATGGCCAATGCCTGGTTGAGTAGGACTTTGAACGACGACCAAAACGCGTAGTACAGCTCTTAGCTGGGGTTGATGTAAATGGCTGGTTTGCATAATGGGCCTCACAACATTATGCTCCTGCACACACACTTACTTTTTATGGCTTTTGCGAATTAATAATTCTTTCCAGAAAAAAAAAACAATTATTGCTACATTTGCATTACAATATAAGCCGCACACTTTTTCGCAGGTTCACTAGCTGTTTCCCGCCTTTCTGTCGCGGGAAGAAGTTTTTTTACGAGGAATCGTACTAACAACTTCGTCAGAAGTTCCAAGTAGAGCACGTTGAACCAGATGGCAAATGTTTAACCACTTGTATTGATACATGAAACAGTTTAATATCCAGACCACTTGTATATTATAGCTCCGATATAGTGCTAAGTTTATAGAGTAAAACTTGTCTTTACCTTGACTATACCGAATGCGATATCGAGGATTTTATAGAACTTACTGGGATAGAAGAACTGGCCTTAGAAATACAATTACATATAATAGAATAATTTTAAGATGAACTTCCGAATCGCTAAAGCCGCGGCATCCGGCCCCACCCGGTCCGCCAGACCCACCCTGACACCTCAGTTCACGACGTCACCACCAAGCTGACAACTCACTCACTCACTCACTCATTCTCACACACATCGTCACCAGACTCACCACCATTCTGAAGCCCTCGCCCCCCCAGCCGCCAAGATGCCACGGGACTCACAACCACCGCCCTCGCCCACCCTCGAACTCGCCTCCCTCTCACCCACGTCCTCCATCTCGCCCGACTCGCCGCTGCTCACGCCCACGTCGACGGCGCCCCCGCCGCGCTGGGCGCTCCCATCGCGAACCCGACTCCAGCACCTCCTCGACGGCACGCGCACAGCGTCCAGAGCCATCCTCCTGCGCACCAGACGCCTCGCCCCCCTCCCACGGCGCCTCTCCTGGACATCCGGCGTCCTCTGCACGCTCCTCGCCTACACAATCGCGTGCCTGGCCCTCTCCATCCCGCCCTTCGCCTCCCGCCTCCCGGCCTACACGGGCCCCCACGCCGTCGGCGCCATCGACATGGAAGTGCCGCTCCCGCAGGCCCGCCTCATCGCCGACCCCGTCTTCAAGCACTCCCACACGCCGGCGTTCAAGCTCGAAACCGTCCTCCTGACACTCTACTACCCAGCCTCCCCCTCCGCCTCGTCCTCCTCCCCGCCGCTCCCCTGGATCCCGCGGCCCATCAGCCTCACGGCCCAGGGATACGCGCGCTTCGCCCGGGCCGACAACTTCCTCACCCGCCCGCTCTTCACATTCCTCCTCTGGCTCGCCGCCGGGTCCGTCACCATCCCCGCCGCCACCGACGTCCCCCTCCTCGCAGACGGCGGCGCCAAGCTCCCCGTCGTCGTCTTCTCCCACGGCATGGCCTCCTCCCGCACCGACTACACCCACTACCTCGGCTCCCTCGCGTCGCGCGGCGCCGTCGTCGCCGCCCTCGAGCACCGCGACGGCTCCTGCCCCGGCACCCTCATCCGCCTCCCCGACCGCCCGCCCCTCCAACGCCCTCACTTCCGCGCCTCCGACCTCCTCGCCTCGCCCACCAACCGCACCCCCGTCGACACGCCCTCCATGAAGCGGCACCAACTCGCCTTCCGCGACGCCGAAATCTTCGAAACCATCCGCCTCCTGCGGCTCCTCGACGCCAACGCCTCCGTCCCAAGCACCCGCGACCCCCCAAAGTCCCTGGGCTCCTTCGCCTCGCGCCTCGACCTAGACACCCTCGTCACAGCAGGCCACTCGTACGGCGCCACAGCCGCCCTCCAGGCCCTCCGGCACGCGCCCTCCCCCTCCGACAAAGGGCCCAACCCGTCCGTGGCCGGCATCGCCCTCGACCCAGGCAAGGAGAGCGGGCCCCTCAACGCCGCGCTCAACGTGTCCCTGCTCGTCGTCCACTCCGACTCGTGGTCCCGCCAGCGCACCCTCTTCTTCGGCAGGCCGCACTTCGACACCGTCCGCGACCTGGTCGCCGACGTCCTCGAGAGGTCCGGGCGCGCAGCCTGGTTCCTGACGAGCCTCGGCACAAGCCACCCCAGCGTGTCGGATGCCCCCCTCATAGAGCCCCTCCTGCTGAGCTGGACGACGGGCGCGACGCTCAATGTGAGGGAGGCCTTGGGCGAGTACGTCCGCGTTTCGCACGACTTTATCCAGTCTCTGCGGACCGCCAAAGTGGACGGCATTCTGCAGGAAAAGGTTACGCACACCGAATACAACAAGTGGGTGAGCGATGAGAGAAAAGCCTCCTTTCCCAAGGACATGGCCCGCTTATGGGAAATTCATGTCAGTCCGGCCTCGTCAAACGACCTGAAGGGCCCAGACGGACAGACCTGAGACCTTGTTCCTTCACATACGCCTCACCGCACTCTTCGGCACAGTTCAAAACCACGGGTCAAACATCACTGTTCCATTCACCTTGATAGCTATCCTGGCCGACAAGTAATATATATACAAACAAACAAACAACAGACCCTCACAGAAATGCCGTCGAAAAGTTTTCGCTCCCATTCCTCGACATGGTCCCATGAATCGCCTTTCGACGACTGCTCAAAAACAAATCAACCATTCGCCTGCTTCCTCTGATCTGGGCGTCCCACTCTGACTTGGTTGTTTCCGACAGGCCATTCGATACGGGCATCGACCCTTCCGGTGTGCGTGGGGATGTCGAGGCACCAGTGCCCAACTTTCCCGGTGAACTCCCTTTACCACTAGCTGCTCGCTGAGGTATAGCGGAAAGCCCTGGCGTAGTTTTGGACATGATGGGTGGTCCAGTTCTAGAGTTTTCCTGATCACATTGCTTCCAGGGTAGCCCATCATGGGGTTGCGGTGCCGTCGTAGGGACCGTGTTCAGAGACCTCATTCTCAACAGGCCCGGCCGACAGTCGTTGAAATTTGGAGTAGTACCTTTGTCTACTTTAGTCAAGGAGGTAGTCGAGCAAGGGGTATGTCGGAGCGGGCTGGATGGAATGCTTGGCGACGCAGAATGTACCCTGTCCCTCTTGTTGGGTCCGGCTGTTCCCTCTGTAGACTTGAGAGGGCTTCCAGTCTGAGCCGGTGGCGATGGACGGATTCCAAGGGCATGTAAGCTGGCAACGCAGCCGGGAAGCTCCTCTCCTGTACCTGTCACCGCCGTCTTGGGGGTTTCACCTGGTGATTCGATCTCGGCACTCTCTCTTACGTGCCCGGCATGCAGCACGGCACCGCTTGGCTGCTCCGCACATTGGGTATGAGCGGTATGCGGCTTTTCCAGCTTGGAGATGTTGGCGCTGAGCCCGGCCTTCCATTCTACTGAACTTGCTGCCGAAGCATCATGGCCGCGTACTGGTGTTTCCATGTTGGCAGAAGACTCAACTGGCACGGCTACATCCCCCGCCACAGCGTTGAGAACGTCGGGAAGAGGAGGCGATGCAAGTCCATCTGGTCGGACGGTTGTTAATTCCTCGGTCGTAAAGGAATAAAAGCTCTCGGCATAGGTTAGGCGCGCATCCCTCTCTGATCCCACAGTGCTTGGGCGTCGACTAGGTAGACTTAATGCAGACAGCGTACTCAAATACCTGGTATCCAAAGCGTGAGTGTGGTCTGATTCTTGGTAATCTCTCATACTTCGTTGAATGGCCCGACGGTAAGGACTCGTCGTGCGGAAAAGGTGATTGTCTGAACTTGGAGAAAACGTCGAGTTTCTGTCGGCACGGATGGACGACTGTTTCGTCGCCGACTCTGGTAGAGGGATCTTGGCTGGTGAAAGCCCCTTTCCATCACCCGCAGAGGCATTCGGATAAGCCTTGTACGCCGTCTTCCTCGACATGGAGGAAATCACTTCTTTAGTATCCTCGAATACGTCATCATCGCTTGTCCCGATGCATCGAATAATCGGCGGAGACCATGGCTGTGCGTTTCCTTGATCACCAGAGCCATGTCCGAGAGGCACCGACTCGGCCGGCGACTGTTTTGACGATTCGTGGTTCTGCACTTCGTCTGGATTACTGGGAGTATTTGTGAGCTTCTTCATGAGTGCTGAATACACTCGCTGGCTATTTATTGTCATTCCTGGAATAGTAGGATTCGCCAATGGAATGCGAGAGGAGGATGGGATATGCATGCCATTTTCCTTGATGACAGACAGACGCTGGTACTCGTGCTCCTCGTTTACGCCGAAGCTGATAACAGTATTTGCTGACGAGTTTGTCCAACTAGTCACACGGGACTTGTCGTCAGTAGGCATGTTCTCCTCGTGCGAGATGCTCTCCAAGCTTCCCTGACGTGACCGCATCTGCTGGTACGACGGCACCGCATGAAGCGAAGGGACATGCGAAGTCACTCTTGACATGGAAGCTTCTTCAATCGGCGGGGTGTCAGTTCGGTGGTGGAAGCTGTCGCTATCAGTGTCTTGGGATGCATCGACTGCAATGTCGTTTCCGCTAGTGTCCGTACTCTTTGACCGACCGAACAGTCTGCTCAGTTTATTTCGAACCGTTTTCGACACTCGCCTAGCCGTGAACCGTATCCCAGTATGCTTCGCAGGAGGAATGCCATTTCCCAAGAAGGCTGGGGAAAGCGCGGCGCTGTTGTCACTGCTGTTGCGCAGTGACCTGGATAATCCTGTTGAGCTCTCTTGCTGTCGATGCTTGGACCGAAAGAACATTGAGGAATGAGACTTGAGATGACGAAAAGACCCCTTCGAGTGCATCACCTTTTCTGGCAAAGAGTATCCGTTATGTTTATTCTCAGCTCCTTCTACCAATGGCTTTATAGTCTGGAATTCAAGATAGCTCATAGACTTTGGTGCGCGCAGACTTCGCCTGATGGAGTACCGCTTTGTCTGATTCTGCCTGTCCTGGAACTGTATGGTTGAAGGTGTTGTTGGCAGTGGCTTTAGGCCGTCAGCCCCAATGTCATCGTTGTCATATCCTGATACTGAACCCATGGACTGGCTATACATGGACTTGGATTTTCGAAGCGATCGCACAAACGGCGGCATGGGAGTGATATTGGCAGGCTCCGTGAGGAAATAACCACTTGTGTGGATGACAGAAGAGTTGCTGCTCCGAGGCTTATAGTTCGTTTCTATGGATTGCGTATAGTTTGATCTCGCGGGCGAAAGACGGCCATTATCTCGCCTTCCTGTAGTACAAGTTGGCCCTTTTGATGGATTGGAGCGCACCACTGGCTTCGCTCGAGCAGCCAGTTGTCGCCGAGGCATGGCATTAGGGCCCGTGAACCTTACGCTCTGTTTCCTCTTCGGAATGCCGTTTGGCGGACCTTCTAGTCGACCGTTGACGGTATTGCTCCGTCGAAGAAGAAGATCATGTGAACCTTGGCTTGGCCATTCCCCCGGTGTATCCTGTCTGTGGTAGCCATGAGCGCGATAGTAAGACAAATTGGCTGCAATATGGGCATCTCGTTCTGCAGATGCTGCATCGATATTAACTACAAAATCAGCTCTTCTTCTGGCAATAGAGCTGGTGGATTTGCTTCTGCCAAGGGGATGCCGGTGAGTGCTTCGGGAGCTTTTGCGTCGCAACATCTTCAACTCTGGCAGGAAGTCAGCGTTCAAATAATGTGTTCAATGTATAGTAGTCCACCGGGAATGATATTGTGCGGAGTCGGGGGAGAAAAAATCTAGCGGGTAACCGTAATGTAGACTTGAAAAGGTATCGAAGCATCATAAGTCAAGTGAAGCTGTTGATTCGTGTTGATACGGAGACAAGCCAAGACCGGGATACTGGTTGCTTGGCAGCACCTGTGTGTGTTCTTTGAACCGGCGAGGAAGCTATGAAGTATCACTGTGAAGGACGCACGGAAGCAACTAGGGCGACTCGCCCAAACAACAAATGCGGGCATTCGAGATAAAAAGAAGCGGCCATCAGGTGAATCAGGCACGACTCCTTCCACAAGACAGACAACTTTTCCCTACCGAGCGATCCCGGCTGACCACACGGGACGTTGATTCGCCCCTCTTGGGCCAAGCGTCAGATTATGTAGTCATCAGAACCAGGTGCATTCATGAATCACGAATCACTAAGAAACCAGGCTTTGCGTATGCGGGAAGGAAATATATTGATGCCAAGGTGAGCGATTGTTTACATACAAAGTCCTGCCGTCTGACGATTGTATAGCAGATTGGAAACATAAAACACAGACACAATGAAATAATATCATCCAACACTCTACGCCTCAATACACATCGCGTTACCCAAAATAAGGACAAACCCGATCCCTATGCTGCATATCATGTGTAATCCCTGCCAATAATAATAATAAAACCCAGTCAAAGTGGAAGTCTAGCTCTTACACGGAGATCTCGGAGATGAAGTGCTCAATCTCCTTATCAACGACGTCGTGGATCTTTTCGACAAACTTCTCCGTTTTGTCGCCCAAGTCCTTGACGCCCTGTGAGACCTTGTGGGAAAGAACCTTCATCTCTTCCTTGACAGCGTTCCCAACCGGCTTCGGCTCAGAAGTCCTGGGCCTGCCAATATAGCCACCGGCAGCAACAATCTTGGAGTAGTTGCTGCAACCGCCACCATTCCAGGCCAGCTTGTTGGGGGTGTCATTGGGAATGTCAGTCAGGACACCCTGAGTGGAGATATCAATGAGAGTCTCCTTGAGCTGCTTAGGGGTGATTGAGGCGACAGAGAATTCAGAGTCACCAGCCGGCTGGAGAGAGAGATAGTAGGCGAGGAGGCCGCAGATGTGGGGAGAGGCCATGGAGGTGCCCGAGATGGTGTTGACAGCAGTCCGGGAGCCAATCCAGGTGGACAGGATGTTGAGACCAGGGGCAAAGATGTCAGTGCACTTGCCATAGTTGGAGAAGTAGGCACGGCTGTCATCGAAAGCAGAGGCACCGACAGTGACGGGAAGCTCTGCGGCGGCAGGGGAATAGTTACAGGCATCGGCGTTATCGTTACCGGCAGCGACGGCAAAGTGAATACCAGCCTTGACGGCAGCATTCACTGCAGCGTCTAGAGCCTGTGTCTTACCACCACCGAGGGACATGTTGGCGACGGAACCCTTGAATCCCTTTCGCTTACCGTCTTTGGCAAGCAAGACCTGTTCAACATGTCTGGTGGCAGCGAACTCAACACCCTTGACGACATCGGCCATGGTGCCAGAGCCGTTGGAGCGGAGAACCTTGACGGCATAGACGTTTGCCTTCTTGGCAACACCGTACTTCTTGCCGGCAATGGTTCCAGAGCAGTGAGTACCATGGCCGTTGCCATCCTCATCGGCATCTCCAGCGGGAATGGTCTTACCCCATTTGGCACGACCCTCAAAGTCCACATGATCAGTGTTGGTACCAGTATCAATAACGTAAGCATCGACGCCCTCGCCGCCGTCGGCAGCATACAAGTACTTGTTGTAGGTGCCAAAGGAAAGACCCTTGCGATGGGAGACACGAGCAAGGCCCCACGGGGCCTGCTTCTCGGTCTCGGGAGTGCAAGTCTCCTGCACAGACTCGTCGGGGGTGACAGGGCGCAAAATGCGGGCAATGGTATCCTTCTCAATGAACTCGACCTATTCAGCGGGGTTAGATCAGCAATGATTGGATGGCCGAGAAGACGTCGGCCGAGAAGACGTCATGTGCATCATGGAGTCTCTGCTCATGGAAATGGATGCCAGACTTACGTCGCCATGATTTCGGACCTTCTCGATGACGGACTCATGGAAGTGACCGGAATAGCCCTTGAAGCCGCTGGCAATGTTGTACGTGTGCTTCAAGCCGGCGAAAGCCTCCACTGGTGAGGATCCCAGACTTCGCTTGCGAAGTTCCAAACGCTCCTCCTCGCCATCCTTGTGGATGCTTTGAATCCAGCTATGGTGGTCGTTGACCGCGGCTTCGTTGACGTGGTCCTTGAACTTGATGATGTAGGAGTCAGGAACGACTTCAGCGTCGACATGGGTGAGAATCGGAGCTGATTCCTTGTGTATGGTCTCAATGCTGAATCCCGCCTGGGCGACACCCACCACGGAGAGTGCGACCGCGGCAACGAAAGTGTGCATGATGAGTATGGTGGTACTGATGAAGTTGTTGAAGTGATGCTGATTGTCTTGGTAGGAGCGAGAATCGGGCAAGCTACGCAAACGCCGAGCGTTGGTCTACCTGCGACGCGAACGCAAAACGAGGTGCAAAGACAGCGTGAAATGCAATAGAATCAGATTCGGTCCCAAGCCGCTGAGAGGAGTCAGGCAGTTGGGGTGGGATGGTAGATGAAGATGGAAGATGGAAACGAAAGAAGAAGAGGGAGAGAGTCGGAGGAAGATGAAGCACGGTTTGGGGAGGTACAGTAGATAAGGTAAGCTCGGCAAGCGAGGTGACACTGACGTTGGCATTGACTCAGGTCACAGTGACCACCACTGACCAGACAGCAAGTGAACCGGAGCGCATCAGGGTCTGGTATCAAAGTGACGGCATCCATTACTGGACCTGGGGGGAAGAAGGCGAGGGCGTGGGCAAATTGGCTCAAGGGGGACTAGCGCGGGGATGGCAACCTCAGCGCCGGGGCACGCGGCCTCTGCGGTGGAGCCTGGGCTGGCAAATCTTGACGCCATTGGGACAGCCACTGGCGCAGTCATTGCGCCAGCAAGATGCAGGGCCAGATAGCAGCATGTACACAGGTACATGCATCAAGTACACAGCATACGCAGGCCAGGCGCAGCAGGTACACACCACACCCGCGGTTTCGGAGGAGGCACTGGAGCAAGTGGTTCCCGCGGCGATACGAGCGATAGCGACAGGCTGGTCGGATATGGCGAGAACGGACGCCTCTCTTGCGTGCATTCCCATTCTGGACGCGATGCACGGCCCGAGCTATGTCTGGTCCTCAACTTTTGCCATTTGCTTCATCGTGCCTGAACCTACATGACGCCTTCAAAGTGTATTTGCTACGGACGGGCAGGCAAGCTCGGAACAATAAGAGGCACCAAGCGTCACACTTGGGAGGGTGCCTGCAGCCTCAGGCCACACACGTGACCTGGATGCTTATTGGGCTTGGTAGGACGGGGCCCTCCGCCGGTACTGTGTACATACATATGTACGCTGATAGTGCTCCGTCTGGTGCTCGACGACGACGACGTCAGGCGGGTGGATGCCTTGGCCAGCACCCGACCTCGGATAGTTGCCAGTCGCCCGTCTACTCGTGAACGCTCAAGTGCTGCCCTGGACCCTCAGAGTCCCTCTGATCAATGTTCTGCGGCGACATGGAACCGGCACTGTCTCGGATGACCGAGTACCCAATCAGTGACCAGCGCCAGGCTGGCCAGCCAACCAGCCAACCAGCCAAGCCTGAGCAACCCAGGACTGGCAGTCACCTGGTGCCTGGCATGAGACAGTCACGCGTTTCTCCGTGCTTCGTTACTCCGTCTCCAACCACGGAGCTTTGCCTCCAACGCTCCGAGTTCACCTGGCATACTCCGTAGTACTCCGTACAATACTAGCAGCTTTGATACTTGGTACCCAGCATTGAGTCGTACAAGAACATTGATATCCATAAACAATAATAATCAGGCCAACAGCCACCGCCACTCCTCCGGTCGGCGCCAACGTCCCTGCATCCGTCTGGTCAAAAATGCGGGGAAATGGGTCCCCTGATTCGTGCCACTTCAGCGCTCGTCCTTTTTTCATCTTCTCCCTGACATCAAGGTCTGTGAACAACGGAACGGCGGCGATGGCGATGCAACGTCTTCCACACGCACCTAAAGGCTTTGATGTGCCTGCGCTGCGCTGCGCTTCTGCTACTTTTGGCTCATAGCGAGTCCTGCTGATCGCCATCTGATCGCCACGGATCCACCATCGGGCAGTCCTTTGGCACGTGCCTTTCCGGTGATATGAATCAGTGTCTTAGCAAATCGTGGATTCTGCCGGTCTTCTCTACAGAGTCAGTCAACTGTGAAAAACTTGCTCATATGGTGTCGGGGTTGTTCATACGCCCGCCGTTCACTGGTTGGGTGGAAAGGCAGATGCTGCTCCAAATTGCCATACAGAACACGTCAAGTATGAAGGATCCCAAAAGATACCAGTTCCAGCATTGACCATGCCAGATTCGCTATACAACTTGTTGGAAAATAATAGAAAATTATAGAAAATTATAGGCTGTTATCAGGAATCGTCATCGTCATCACCATCACCTTATTCGTAATGCATTATTTCCAGATTTAGCATTGTGGCTTGTGAAGAATTGCCACAACTTGCGCTTGGAGTTTGTGAACGGAGTTTCACTTCCTCTCCCTCGGCAAGACTTTCGCAGCGACCAGTGACGCTAAATCCGGAAAGTCTGGTGACAAGATGACTGCTACCGAAATCAATGCCCATATTCACAAGGTGCAATGTCAGCGGACGAGAAATGGCCCGTACCCCGCATGCTGACGAGGGGGCCCTCGACCGACGATAATGATTTGCCCTTTGGTCATTCTCACACCTCCCGCGCGTATGGCGTCTTTTTGATATCCCATCGCGTGGGTGTGCAGGTGAGACGGTGTCATCTTCGCCATCACGCTCACCTTGAATCTGCTGTATTGCGTATGTGAACCGCATGGCCAGCCTCCGCGGGGATCGCGACCGGCCGTAGTGTCCAGCGTTTCCATCTGCCTTTGGCCCAGCGGCCTTGAGCATCTCTGCTCTTCTTCCATCGTCCTCGTGTCTGTGAAGCGCGTTGAGAAGCGCATCCGGCGCCTCTGAAGTCAAAACGTGCGGCAAAGCAGCCGAACAACGTGTGCGCCACTCCCTTATCCCTTGCATTTTCGTCACTACCCGCTTCACGACGCTACAGGACCCAGACACGCATGCCCAGGACTGCGCATCCCGATTGTTCATGTCTTTCTGAGAGACATTAACATTCTCATGGCTCGACAGCCGGCGCAAAATGTCCTCGCCGTCCTTGGCACTCGGTGTCGTAGGTGTTTTCCCCGTCGAGTGGCGCCTATCTGCGTCAGCCCCGTGCTCGACAGGCTGTCCAGTGACTACCAGTTCCAACTTGCACAGAGTACCGCCAGGCGTATTGCCGCATCGCCAGCCTGATTGGCATCGTTGAGAGGAATGTTGTGCGTATTGCTTTGCATTCTCCAAAAGATGGCCAGTCACCGTATCCGAGATGCCACATGATGCGTACGTAAGGACTCGGGAGGGCGCAAACTTCGGCAGCCTGCGTGTCGCCCATCAGTCCAACATCGTGCTTTAATAGGGCTATCATGGCGAATCATCTCTTTTCGAATAGCTGCTAAAAGCACTCCTTTCAACCCCATCACGGCCAAATTTGGGCATTTGTGGCACCATCCAGACCAAGTCCTGGTCTTCCGTGGTCGGTCACGATGGCTAGCTGCATCGCAGCCTTGTCGTCCTTCCGAATATTGGGGTCCGCACCACCCTTAAATGGAGGCATACATACGCCTTCCTTTTTCTCCTATAGAATGGCTACGCTGAGCGGTGTGCAGACGCTCTTTCTCTGTACATTCATGTGTAAACCAAGTCATGTGTACGAGGTATTCGATGACGCCGAGCGACCATTTGGAGCCGCCATATGTAGTGCTGTGGCGCCCATTGTTTGTGGTCAAAGTCGGATCGACTTTGTGGTATTCATACTGAATTAGTGGTTGGACATTGTCCAAGTGCCCGTTCCGAGCCGCACGAAGGGCGGACAACCCGGTCTTGTTTCCGATCGTTTGATCTACCCCATGTTTAAGGAACTCCATCACCTCGACGGCGCCGGCTTCTGCCGCCATCACAAGGACTATCGGCCCGTAGTCATTCAGCCCACCTACTAGATTCCTGTGTGCCCCTCGCGGCCAATGACGGCGGCTGTGTTAGTGAGGCTCGTGATCCGTGTGGTGTAGCGGAGTCTTTGCCCTTCGACCTTAGGTTGGCACTATGCCCCCAAAGAAGGGCACCGATGTTAGCTCGGAATCTTCTTGGACCCGGGCGGACGCTATGTGTCGTGTTGTGGTGTAATTGGAGAGCGAGTCTGGACTCACGCCCTCCTCAAGAAGCCGTTCGGCCATCGCCAGCTTCTCCCCGCCAGCTTCACTTGCAGCATGTAGAGGTGTCTCTCCTTTGCTGTCGAGGTACTCGCGCCTACCGCCATGAACAAGCGGCATGATGAGCCTTGGCCGGTTCTGGAGAAAGGCTAGGTCAAGGGGTCACTCCCCCCTTGGACCTGTTCTATTCATGTCCAAGACATTGCCTCTTCATGGTGGGTTACCATGTATAGCTACCCGTTTAATTCAGTTGCTACTTCTTCAGGTGGTGGGATCAGATTCATCTGGCTCGCCAAAAGCGTCCAAGCCTTTGAGATCTGGTGGTTTCTACAAAGCCAACTAAGCCTCTTTAGTGACGATCTGGTGGTGGACTGATCGGAATTTTCCCCCAATACCATCAAGGACCAGACTTGAATAGCCGCCAGCATGCTGCCCGCTCTCGGCAGCTACCTCAAGCGCCTTTAGTTCTCTCTGTGCGTCCCGCTCTACGAGCCACCCCCCTGCAGCTATCAATTGATATGACCCTTCCCAGCAGTAACCTCCTGGGCCGACATGAACATTGATTGAACCGGACATGTCAACTGGTCTGGTGGGCATGTGGACTCGCTAGAGATGGGCGGCTCTGGTTCCAGGATACTGCAAGTCTTGGCCCCCTCGCTCTTCCATAAAGTTTTAACAGCATCGAGATGCCCATACCGAGCTGCTAGTTGCATGAGTGTCATCTGTTGAGCCTTCTGGGGTTCAATCTCGGAACCTTTATCCAACAAGCTTTAAATAAGCACAGTGAAGCCCAGTCGGACCGCAAGGCGAAGAGGAGTGTTTTTCCCCTGACAGAGGCAACATATTTGGCTGCCATCCTGAGCGATTAACAGTATGACTAGCTTTCGTCCATGTTCTGTTGCTGCTCAGAGGCACAACTCCAAGTCGTCAGGCGCCGGGATAGATGAGCTACGGGATCCATCCCTTTCCGACACGCTATGACCATATGGGTGCAGCATCAGGGTTGTCGTCACCTTATTCTCTGAAAACTGCACTTGAAGAGCCCGATTTTGAGTGTCTTGTACGCAGGTTGCTGCAAAAACAAAGAGCATACACCCGTGTCTCCCTCCTCGGCAGCTTGGTATAGTGGACTTGGTTCTCTCTCATCGTCGCTTTTCGATTCTGCTGCGTGAGTCAGGAGCAGCCGCACTGGCTTTTACGTGGTCATTTTGGCAGTCGTGAAGATGCGCAGCTTTGTTATTTGGTGGAATTAGTTTGCTTGTGCTCCTCTCCTCGTTCACAATGCTGCTGCGTGCTCCTCCGATGCAATATCAATAGTTGAACAACATTCGTCTACTACCTCTGGCGCAAACAAGAAATGTCAGCTATATTCGGTTCAAGTCACCAGGCAGATGGAACCGGGTTGTTACGGCCAGCTTCATAACCTTCCACTTTGTAAAGCCACTGAACACAGTTGACAATAGAAAATGTTAACAAAAGCGAAGAGAAAGAGACAGCGACTGAAGTAATTAGTGCGCTGACTCTTGTACGAAGGTAAGGAGGTCAAGAATGTCAATTTGTTATCGCAAGCACATGACGAATTAGTTGCTTCACAAAGGACGCTCCCTCGCTTACTTGATGTAGGGTAAGTTTGTCTCCTTGCTTGCGTAGCATCGTGTTCCCCACGCGGCGAAATACATAGCATTCCTAGAGATAAGATAAGATGGAATTTTAAAGAGAAATTATCGTGATGCTAGATTTATTCTTCTATGAATTGCAATTGCCAGCTTATTTCTATTTATATAGAGTTTATAGATGTCTGAAGTACCAGCAACCCTACATGCATTGACAGGCCCACTTGAGTGTATGATACAATGTCGCGAGAAGTTATTGACGTGTCAATAAATGTCTACTGCTATGTAACTACCTAGGTACTAGATGGCTCGAAAAGATTCTGCAGCCTGCCGGCTATAAAGGCCTTTATCCAGGGCATTCCGAAATTGGGAATAAGGCAAATAGCACTAACTGCAATACCAGTAAGGACATGGAGCCAAAATAAAAACATGACAGAGAGCACTGGCGACATGCACTTTTGTGTGCAGGTTATTGCGCCCCATTACTTATTTTGAGGCACATGGATGGGGGTGGGGGCGTTGCTCTGCCACAGATATCTACAAGACTCTTCAGCCACCTCACCAAGGCTGACGACTGACGTTCACGCAAGCTCCCACTTTCAGCTCCGACGTGATGATGCGTTACGAACACAACGATCCGTCATTCAAGACCACATCCGCCTGAAACCTTGCTGCTGAGCTATTTCCCCGTCAATTCCAACATCTCGACGAATTCACTCGACTTTTCGCTCCAGTCTCTTCTAGGGCAGGCGCCAGCCTCTGACCGTCTCGACAGCTCCTGCCTCTTGCCACAGCTTGATGAGCCCCGCGCACTGCAGATCCCAGGTGCAGCTCCGAGCTTTGGAAGACGTCGACACCCGCCAACATCCCAGGCCTCCTGGCTCTCCCATGCCGCCACTGACCTGCCAAAGCCTGGACCCTTGAATAGGGCTCAGGAGAGCAGAAGGAAAGCATTTGGAATGACGGCGGCCGTCTCGTCAAATGACCATGTCGTCCCATCCTCGTCGTTGCCGGTCCTCGACCTCTGCGTCGGTCCCAGTCACATCCAAGTCTTTTGACATCCTGCGCAACCTTCTCGATGGCTTTGCGACTGCCGCATCCTTGACCGGCGATAACGGATACCCCGACATTGATAAACTAGTCAAGCCTCTAAGGGACATACATCAACATGTATCTGCGTTTGGGTCGCCGGCTTTGCAGGACGACTTTCGACACGCCCGCGGTTTTGACATTCTCCTCGACGTTCTGCGCGCTTTCTCGGGCTTCTACGACCCGCAAAAGCGAAGCCAAGCTGACATGATGTCGCTGTTTAGACTGCTGGGAGCCAGTTTGAACGTCCTCTCTTCGGTATTACGCAACCACTCTGGTAATAAGAGATTCTTTCGATATCGCGTCGCCGGCGGCGGATGGGAGGCTCTAGAACAAGTCATTGCTAGTATTGGACTGGGGGGTGCCGAACCTGATCCCTGGGTCAGCTGTCATGTGTTTGGAAAACTGCTTGCATTTGCACTGGACGATGAAGCATTGGATCTACTCTGTCAGTCTATTGCCAAACTATTGCGGCCCGAAGCCGAAACGGCACCGCCATCAACTTCCAACGGAGACGACGACAAGGAGATGCCTCCGTCCGACGATGGCGACGATCAATGGGATCTGGTTCTGGCCCGATCGGCGGAAAACATTGGACCTAATGTGCGAGATATCGTCAAGTCTACTTCCGTGATCCAATTTCCGGAAATTCTTCGCCCAGTCGTCAGCTTCTGGATGGCCATGCCGCGTGAGGCTAACTCACCTGCGACACCAAGCTCCATTTTCGTTCTGGAAACGATTCTGTGTGCCATCTCAGATTCAATCTTCAACCGGGCTGCAGTTCATTCGACAGGGGTCCTGTCTCAGTTTCTACATGCAGCTTTTGGTCAGGAAGTATCTCTGGCCATGTCAGAACGTGAACGACTGCTCGCCATTTGCAAATTGCTCATGTTTCTAGGCGTTAACGAGCCTGCGGATACACAATTCCTTCTTGCCGCGTCACGACCTGATGCTGCCGACTTTTGTCTGGAAATGATGTCTAGATATGCCGGCCCATCATTCTTTCAGTTCGATCTGTCCTTGCATGGCCATTCGTCTCTTGAATTATCTACCCTTGGCCGGCCATTTCCTCCTCAATCAACTGCTGGCTACACCTTCACAGCATGGATACGAATTGAGAATTTTGATTCCACTTCCCACACTACCTTGTTTGGTGTTTTCGATGCTTCTCAAACATGCTTCGTGCTCATGTACCTGGAGCGGGACACCCGCAACTTCATCTTGCAGACTTCTGTGTATTCGAACAAACCAAGCGTGAGGTTCAAGTCCGTTGCCTTTAGCGAAGGAAAGTGGTATCATATTGCCATTGTGCACCGACGACCCAAGACCATGACCGCTAGCAAGGCATCTTTGTATGTCAATGGCGAATTCGCAGAGCAAGTTCGTTGCAATTATCCTCTAACGCCACCACTGTCGAATGACAATAACGAAAGCTTCGCATCCTTCAACTCAAATCATAACAAGACAAATCCGGTTCAGGCGTTTTTGGGAACCCCTTTGGAGTTATCTGGCAAAGTTGGCCCTGGACGGGTTGTCTCAAGATGGTCTCTTGCTTCGGCCCATTTATTTGAAGACGTCCTCAGCGACGACTACTTGGCAGTGCATCACGGACTCGGCCCTAGGTATCAAGGAAATTACCAAGACAGCTTGGGCGGCTTTCAAACCTATGAGACCTCTGCCACCCTTGGTCTGCGCAATGAGATTACCCATCCTGGTAAGGACGAGAATTCAGATATACTGCGCGCGGTTCGAGACAAGGCGAGCACGCTCCTACCAGAGTGTAGAATCATGTTGAGCATTCTTCCATCGGCCACGTTCCCAGAAAATGTTCAATACCTAGATACTGGTCTTCTGCGATCTCTTCCGCGGATATCCACTCGAAATTTGTTCCGTATATCAAGCCAAGAAGGGGCGCCGTTGGCAATCAATTGTGCTGTACCTAGTCTACCGGATGCATTGCTCAGAGCACAGGGCATGGCGTCTTTCCGTGGAACTCCAATCGTTGCTGTACCATCCTATCTTGACGAGAACCTTTGGCGACTTGCTGGATTCACTCCCCTTGCGCTGAAGCTGTTGGAGCGGGCCACTACTGCGGACGAAACCGTTCGATCCATCGAAATTCTGTTTCATTGTATTCGTAAGAGCTGGCGAAATAGCGAAGCCATGGAACGAGACAATGGTTACGGTATACTGGGCATGCTCTTACGAATCAAAGTTGGCTATGGCACCCAAATCGCAGGTGAACCAGCAGCAGAACGGCTGCTCATCTCTAATGAAGACCGAGACAGCTTGTTGTTTCGTATTCTGAGCCTTATTCTGGGCTTTGTTGGCTACAATCACGCAGAACCGATTGACTCTTTCATTGTCAATCCCTTGGCATATCGCATTCTGCTCATTGACCTTGACATTTGGAGGAAATCAACATCCCGAATTCAAGAGCTGTATTATAAACAATTTCTGACATTTGCAGTAAATAGTAAGCATCACGAGTTTAATAGCCGTAGACTGACACGGATGAGTAAGTCAAATCAATACATATCACACGCGACGAACAAACTAACGTTGCTGAAGGAATCGTGAAGCGTCTATTGGATGCTATGAAAGGGGAAGCCGTCTCCGAGGATGTTGTCTCGCATTTCATGCTTGCCTTTGAGATACTGGTCAAGTCAAACCTGAGCCAGGAGGTCATGCGAGCGCTATCACTATTTATTACATATGCTTTCCACTCTCCAACGAATTCGAACCCGCGCACCCCCAAGCCCTTGTCTTCAATTCCACGACCAGGCACCCCCGGGACGCCAAAGAGGATCGCGGTAGATTTTATAAGGATGGCTACACCACCTTCAGGCACCAAATTTCTTTCTAGGCGACAACTTGGCGTGCGGGTGTTGGGCATGTATTCACGCATTCTCTGCGAAAAAGGAAATACAAATCACATCAAGAAATTTGCGAGAACTGTGACAAACAAGGTGAGCTAGCTTGCACATGTTACTGATCGTTTGTCTAACTATTTATAGTGGCTACTGTACCTCCTTGCCGACGATGATGCTGAAGTTGTCATGCACGGTTGTAGGATTCTGGCTAGGCTTCTAGTTTCTCATGGCTCTAATTATACGTCAAAATTTGCTGGCAAATCTGGCGGGTTCATAATCATGGCTAGTAAGCTGAAGCGATTCTGGGCCAACGCCAAGCTGTGGCCCATTTGCTTCAGCATTCTATTTGGCTACGATGCTGCCAACATTGGCCTGGAACAAGCCATTGATCCCTCTTCGCTACTCACCCTCTTCTCTAAGAGGAAAGTTGCATATCCGGAATCACTGGTGATCATAACGTCAATGCTTCAACACGGCTTGAGGGATGTGATGAACCGCCTGGATGAGAGTGATTCACAGACCAAGGGCAGTGATGTCAGTGACTCCAGGGCCGAAGCGGCAAATCTCTTCCCAGTAGAACATAAGAGTAAGTGCGAGCACGTGTATGCTGTTTAATGAATGATAAACTTACCTTTGCTATAGTGACAAACCCAGAGAAAGCCGACAGCTCACTGTTCGATGAAAATGTGCTACTTGGCGTGATCCGTTTCTTGTTGGACCTGCAAGAACGATCTGCTGACTTCCGAGACTTTGCCATTTCTTCAGAATGGATGCGAATGCTGCTCACCGCAGTCTACCCGTGTATCGTGAGCACCGATGCGGTCACGCCAGAAGTTGAACTGAACTCTCGAGATTCGGCTCTGACATTTGAAGGTAGCGATGTTATTATTCGCCCTATCGGAAGGGGCTCTGCTCCGGCACCGATTGTAAGAACCACCAGTGTGGATGTGTTATCATCACCTCAGTCAACTCCTCCCAAAGGCACACCGCTGCGACGAGCATCATCATTTGTGCTTCTCACAGCCCAGAAAGCGAGCTCAGCAGACCAGGCACACTCGGAGCTACGTTCACGGCCCTCGAATGACTTCAGTGGCCAAATTTCTGGCGGACCAGTCTTCGACGGAATGTTAGAGCTTGTTCTCCGAGTATTCTTGGACCAAGTCTGGAATAGAAAGGATTTCTCCGGATTTTCGCTCTTTGCCAAGGTTCCTCCTGGTTTTCAAGAGCACCAAGCGTATTTCGAGTCCTACCTTTGGAGAAAGATTTTGGGACAGCTTACGAACAGAATCCACGCCAACCAAAAGTCACTCTGTGAACCTCGTCTGTTGACCAATATCTTTCGGTTCTGTTCTCAGATGTCCGAAGCCATCTTTGAGGGCTGGTTTATCGACGGGGCCGAGGTTGCAATTGATTTTATTGGTTCGATACTGGAATATCTTCAGCGACCGGATATTTCAAACCTGAAAAGTGTTCGCTTGTGCAGCCAGGCGGTATCTACGGTTCGAAATTGCCTGCTCAGAATCGTACTCCTGAAGCTTTCGGACCTGGAAAACGCTCAAGTCACGGAAAAAGAAGCCAAAGGCTTTATGAATATGCTCGGATATTGGCAGATGTCTATCCTTGCATGTTTTGACCACGACGATGATTATTTCAGACTCTTTTGGTATCAGCTGTACATGAAGCTTATTGATGGCAAAATATCTATCAGGATTGCAGCAGCTAATCTTCTCAGAATCATCATGGTACAAAAACCGGACGAATCGACCGCCCTCATTCGGTCATGCATTACTCCCGACCAAAGACAGCTATCGCGAGATTTCCAGAAGCTGACAGAAGTGGACGATGAGACTTTTGTCCTATGGGTGGACAAACACCGGCCATCTCTTGATAGACTGTTCTTCGGAAGCATTGCCAAGACATGGGAAGATTTTGTCATTGTTGAGAATCAACGTACGGCGGAGAGTGCTAAAAGTAGGCTCTCCAAGCGCAAGGACAAACTCAAAGTTTGGTACTCTGATGGCGTCAATGCTAGCAAGACGCTACTTAATCATGATGTTGGCAACACCGCCTGGATGAAGAGCATATTCAACTCAGAGTACTTCAAGTATCAGAGGCTTCTGCAAGACCAACAAGATGACATGGCCTATTTGGGAGCCGCATATCGCAAGATGGAGAAGGATTTGAGACGGCCCGGTGCGGTTTTCAGCGAACCTACTCCATTGAAGTGGAAGCTCGATAGAACCGAAGGTCGAAATCGTATGCGGTTGCGACTTTTGCCAGATGCGTCTGGCATAGATGAGAAGTACCAGTCCAAGGGAAAGGCAATAGAGGCCGCATCAGTCCCTCTCCGGGTTAACACGGCTATTAACTCTACACCGCCGACCAATACGCCTAGCCGCTCGTTGTCTTCTACTAATCTCGCCGACGGGAACGACGCGGCGGCGACAGTCGAACCCGACTCTGTGTCGGACAAACAAGAAGGCGGATTCGTCGCCGAGGATGACTTTGAGCTGGTGGACGACCCCAATGAGCCGATTGAGGGGGAGGATACTTTTGAGGACAAGAACAGAAAGGTCATGAGGCGGTTGGAACACGGAGATCAGGTTCAGGCTGCTTACAACATGTCTCGAATCACCGGCTTAGAGGCCTGCGAAGGTATTCTTATCGTCGGTAAAGATGCCCTATACATGATGGACAATGTATTTCAGTGTGCAAGCGGAGACATTGTCAATGTCTGGCAAGCACCACCGGAGGAGCGGGATCCATTCACCATGGTTGTTACTGGGACCAAGACGCTCGAGAAGCGCCAAACTGCTGGCATGCGTGATCAAGATTCACGCCATTGGAAGTGGCATGATGTCATCAGCTTCTCCAAACGACGATTCCTGTTCCGAGACGTCGCGATTGAAATCTTTTTCACTGATGGCCGTAGTTATTTGCTTACGATGATTAACTCTGCTGTTCGAGATACTGTGTATGGCAAGTTACTGAATAAGGCGCCGCACACTAACACGGCCAATGCCTTGCCAAATCCGGAAGACGCCTGGAGGCTCGAAGCACTCAAGACAGTTGACGAGTCTCCCCAAGGATTTGGTGCAGGCTTAGGTTCCAGAATCGGGACGCTTTTCAACTCTTCGCCATCGAATCCAATTGTGAAGCGATGGCAAAGAGGCGAAGTATCCAACTTTCACTACCTTATGATGGTCAATACCATGGCAGGCAGGACTTTTAACGACTTGACACAATATCCAGTGTTTCCATGGATCCTTGCGGATTATACGAGTGAGGACTTGGACCTTGAAGACCCGGCAACGTTTCGAGATTTGTCAAAGCCCATGGGCGCTCAAAGCCAAGCGCGAGTTCCTGGGTTTGTTGAGACGTATAGTGCGCTCAGGGAGATTGGTCAAACACCATTCCATTATGGTACTCATTATTCGTCTGCGATGATTGTCAGCTCTTATCTTATTCGACTTCCCCCATTCGTGCAGTCGTACCTCCTTGTTCAAGGAGACAGCTTTGATCATGCAGACCGACTGTTCCAATCAGTTGCTGACGCGTGGGCATCTGCCTCGTCTAAGAACAAGACCGATGTCCGAGAGCTTATTCCTGAATTCTTCTGCCTCCCTGAATTCCTGACAAATATTAATGGATATGATTTCGGTCGCAAGCAAAGCACCGGTGCCCGGGTCGATCACGTTCGGCTTCCGCCGTGGGCCAAGGGAGACCCCAAGATATTCATTGCGAAGCACCGAGAGGCATTGGAGAGCCCGTATGTGAGCGAAAACTTGCATCTCTGGATAGACCTCGTCTTCGGATGTAAGCAGCGAGGGGAGGCAGCTGTGGAAAATCTCAATGTGTTCCACCATCTCTCGTACGCTGGCGCAAGCGACCTGGATCGCATCACTGATGCAAATGAGAGAGCTATAACAGCAGGTGTTATTCATAATTTCGGACAGACTCCTCATCAAGTGTTTAACAAGCCACATCCGGCTCGGGAGTACACGCAATGTTCGACCAGACGACTGGATACCTCTATTTTCTCGTTGACATCTCTGCCTCGACCCCTGTTAGGTGAGAAATTCCTCGACTCGAATTCAACGAAATATTGGAAACTAATTTTTGAATCAGAGAGCCATGAACGTGTATCTAGTTTGATATACGCCCCAAAACTTGACCGGCTGTTATGCGCATCGGCATTCCGCTTGAACTTTGCACCGTATGATAAGTTTTTGGAGTGGGGATATGCAGATAACAGCATCCGCTTCTTCTTCAGCGACAATCGCAAGGTATGTCGCTTCCACATAGATGCAGCGTTTATATGCTAACCTATTACTAGCCTGCCGGATTGTTTGAGAATCTCCATACCGGACAGATTTCATGCGCTTGCTTTGCAGACTCCAAAACGCTAATTACTGCAGGTGAAGACTGTGTTGTATCAGTCTACATGGTACACACGTCTGTTAGCAAACCTGTAGAACTTGTTCCACGATCCAGCGTTTTTGGTCACAAGACTCTGGTTACAGCTATGGCTGTTAGCAAAGCTTTCAGTACCTTTGTTACGGCGTCCGCGGATGGACAAGCCTTCCTTTGGGATCTCAACCAGCTTACTTTCATCCGCAAGTTGCCGCTGGTGCGGCTCGTGGAGTGTGCTGCGATGAATAATGTTTCTGGAGAAGTATTATTATGCTCAGGCCCAAACGTTCTCCTGTACACACTTAATGGAACACTCATCCTAGACCAAAACGTTTGTGGAGAGCAAGATGATTATGTGCATTCTTGTGCATTTTACGAAGGCGCTGGAGATGAGTGGCTTGAGAATTGCATCATTTTTACCGGGCACAGCAAGGGACGGGTCAATGTTTGGCGCAAATGTGTTCTTGCGGGCAAGTGGACACTGGAGTTACTTCGAAGGCTAGACCATATCGACTTTAAGGGTGACACACAGGACAACACGGATGCCGGAATCACTTGTATTACCCCCATGCCCACCTGTGTATACACCGGAGATGAGGACGGAAGAGTGGTAAGTTCCCAAGATTCCATCGGGTAGAGCTTGTTTACTAAGAATTACGCAGTATGAATGGAATTTTGGTCGCGGAGACCGATAGAGTCTGGTTCTTCCCAACCGAAAACCAGGTAGAAATCATCGTGATAGCATATTGTCTTTGAGAGAAGACATAACGACACCTGACGTTAATTAGAAAGGGAGTTTTGAGGACCCTTACATTGCCGCATAGCATGCCACTGTTTCCCTCCCCTATTTTTCCCTTTTGGTAACATTCTAGATTTGGACAAGACAGAAAGAATTGCTGGGAGCACGGCGCGGGAGGATATTTAGTGTTTCAGAGAAAGTACTTGCACACAAGATGTTGATTTAACTGAAAAAAAAGTTGAGCCTTAATTTGCGTAGCGGGCGGTAATTGTCGCCCCTTTGTGCATGTCGTCGATCTCGAAAACGCCGCTGGTTTTGTACACAGTTCACGACTAGTATTTGTCGTGAACATCTAGTGCCGCATGTCCACCCCCGCTGTTGTTCCTTCCGTATTTACCCTTTCTTCTTCTAATCGTCATAGCCTGTCAATTGTTTCCGAGGACCCGTAGGAACTGATACAAATTAGCCTCTGTCCTGATGTCCCTATCGCATAGTCTTTTGCATTTAGAGCTTCGGAGCCAGTCATACCAGGATATGTAACGGGAATAGGCGCTGGATCAGCATCCCCGAAGTACTTTCGGATCGGAGGCACGATAGGCATGGCGATGGGACCGGCGGCGCCAATGATGACAGACCAGAAAAGCGCGGGTCGTTCACGAGCTGCCCAGCGGCAGTACTTGAGAGGGGTGGACCAGAAGACTGGCGCAGACATGATGGCCTGTATTCGAGGGAGAGAGGTTAGATCGGTCCGCGGTTTTCGAAACAGAACAGAGGGGGGTGCGCACTCAATGGGTTGAATTATCGACGTTGAGATGTGCAGGGCTGGCCGGGAGGCGGGCAAATGAGGTTGTTCCAATTGGCGATGCGCTGACAAGATCGGAAAAGACTTCTTCCGTTGCGCGACGTCACACGCCCTGGCGTGGGCGCGACGTGGTCTTGACCCAGTCATGACACCCCCCACATTGGCCTGGAAGCTCAGAGGCCAGACACAAGGCGACGTATCCCCAAGGAGCTTGTTTGGAATAGTAGCTATTCATGCCAAACTCGTGGGCAAACTGGCCGAATCTTCCCTCCACAACCCACGACGAATTGGTCCACCCCTTTTCGCTATCTAGTACGACAAACGCATTGAGTGCGTAATTCTTCAAGATGCGGTCGATTTTAGGTGCAGCTGCCGTTCTCTTCGCCGCTGCTGTCTCGGCCGTCAGCACCGCTGGGAACCGGCTGCTGGTTGTACTTGATGACGTGGCAGAGAAGGAGAACTACAAGCAATTCTTTGGTGATTTGACAGGTAAGAATGCGGCCGATGCCATGCGAATATTGGGAAACCTGGGGAACATTGGGCCGGTGCTAACTGGTTTGCAGAGAGAGGCTATCACATCACCTACGAGACGCCGAAGAGCGAACATGTCAAGTTGTTCCATTTGGGCGAGAGGACATACGACCACTTGGTGTTTTTGCCTGCAAAGGTCAAGGGTGAGATTTTTTGGAGTGTAGCCCTCGTGTCTCTGGAGATGAATCATTGCTGATCGACGGCAGCCCTCGGACCTAACTTGACGCCCAACATTCTCGTCGACTTCGTCAACGCCAACGGCAACATCCTCGTCGCTCTGTCGTCCACCACGCCCGCCTCTTCGTCACTGACTTCCCTCCTGGCCCAGATTGACATTGGGCTCCCCGCTGAACGCACCGGCACCGTCGTCGACCACTTCAACTACGACGCTCTCTCCGCCCCCGAGTCCCACGACGTCCTGGTGCTCGATGCGCCCACCAACGTGCGCCCTGGCCTCAAGAATTACTTCGAGGTCCCGGGTGTCTTGTCCTTCCCCCACGGTGCTGGACACACGCTTGGGCCTGGCGCGCTCTTGACGCCCGTGATCCGTGCCCCGTCTACTGCGTACAGCTACAACCCCAAGGAGCAGGCCGAGGCCGTGGACCCCGAAGATCTCTTTGCCGCGGGCAAGCAGCTTACGCTGGTGTCTGTTTTCCAGGCACGCAACTCGGCTAGAGTCGCGGTTGTTGGGTCCGCCGAGATGCTGCAGGACAAATGGCTGGATGCCAAGGTCTCGCGCCCAGAAGGCAGCAAGGTCAAGACTGAGAACCGTGAATTCGCCAAGAGACTCTCCGGCTGGGCCTTCCAGGAGATTGGTGTATTGCGTGTGAACAACATCGAGCATCAGCTCAAGGGAGACAACGAGACGAACCCCGAGATTTACCGCATTAAGAACGATGTCGTGAGTTAGACCTCATTACCAATACAGTGTATCGTCTTTGCTGACCACCATGCAGTCGTATAGCATTTCCATGTCGGAGTATTCCTGGAACAAGTGGGAGCCGTACACCCTCCCTGCCACCGACGCCCTCCAGCTCGAGTTCTCCATGCTGTCGCCCTTCCACCGACTGGATCTCCAGCCCCTTAGTGTCAGCGACTCTGCCACCGTCTACGGCACCAGCTTCACGCTTCCTGACCAGCACGGCATCTTCAACTTCAAGATCAACTACAAGCGGCCGTTCCTGACTTACATCGAGGAGAAGAACACCGTCAGCGTGCGCCACATTGCTCATGACGAGTGGCCCAGAAGTTATGTCATCTCAGGGGCGTGGCCTTGGATCTCTGGTATTGGGGCTACAGTGGGCGGCTTTGTGGGCTTCTGTGCCATTTGGATGTATAGCAAGCCAGTGGGGGGCAAGCCCAAGACCAAATAAGTAATCAAGATGGAGGGATAACGGGGAAAATTTTGTACGATCTCATGCTTGGAGGGAGGGAATGTTGGTGTAGAGTATATACGCGACTGGTAAAATGATAGATTTGTGGTTCGCCGAGTCCCCCGTAGCCTTGGATACCAGCGTGGGGTATGTTGTAGCGCAAAACATGGCGATTCTAAAAAAAAAAAAAACCTTTTTATTTTCGTCGCCTCAAACCTTAACAAACGCAGACTGACATCATAACCACGGTGCCATCTTAGCAAGGAGCCGCGCCAAGCTAAGTAGCCCATCCAGTACCGCAGTCTCTTGACCTAAATATTACTAACAAACCGAAACAAAAGCAAGTCAATGAAAAAAGAAGACGGCGCAATAAAAGAAAGCTGCGAGAGGGATAGTGTAGGGCTCTTTGTTCCCGTCAATCACTGCAAAAACTTCACGTTTATGCCCCGCTCCTCCCCTTTCTTCGAGACCCGAGAGTCCCGATAAAGACAGATGGAGATGCGAACAATTCGTCGCATGTTGAATGGATTGCCAAGCGGCAAGCATTCATCAATGCCGACTTTTGTCTGTCGCAGACGTGGCTGTGCGGAGGTGGGCACAATGGATGTATGTGGATGAACAAAGACGATTATGCGCAAATCCCCGACAATGCCAAGGGCGAGGAGCAAAGCGTGCCCAACCCGAGATCCGGCACAGTGAAGAAGACGAGGTTACGAACAAACGAAGAGAGTGCTCGTCCAAGGAGCAGAGAGAATAAAGACGGGCTCGGAACAAAAGTTTGATGCCTAGCGCGTCTTTGAAGGGCCGGTGTTGAACCAACGCCGACGGCTTGTCCAGGAGGATGTATAAAGATCTGGCGAGATGCTCACCAAGATGGGCTGTTCATTCTCAGTTCTCATCAACCAGTACCCAACAACATTCACAAACATGCGTTTCGAATCTACACTCTGGACAGCACTGCTGTCGTATGTCGCCCCCGCGCTGGGCGCCAACGTCCTCGTGGGGTACTATCCTACGTGGAAGCATGCCGCTATTTCCAACATGGACTTGTCCAACTACACCCACGTCAACGTTGCCTTTGCGATTCCCCACGAGAATGGAACCCTGTCGTTTGAAGGCGACACCTTCATGGACAAGCTTGTCCCCAAACTACAGGGCGCCGGCTCCAAGGTCCTCGTGTCCATCGGCGGCTGGTCCGGCTCGGCAAACTTCTCATCTATAACCAAGGACACTGCTCTGAGTGGCACTCTGACCAAGAGCATCATCGACATGATGACCAAGTATAAGCTGGACGGCATCGACATCGACTGGGAGTTCCCCGGCCGAAAGGGGAGCGATTGCAACGTCGTCGACGAGCAAAACGACGCGACCAATTTCCTTAAGTACCTGAATGACCTGCGGGCCAAGATGGACGAGGCCCTTGGAAAGGGCAAGCTGATCACGCTGGCGCTGCGAATACAGCCTTTTGACGGGCCCGGCGGCAAGGACGTCTCGGGGTTCGCCAAGGTGGTCGACTTTGCCAATCTGATGCAGTACGATCTTAACGGCGCGTGGGGCGAGACGAGCGGTCCCCTTGCCCCCCTGAATTTTGAGGAGAAGAAGGGGACGCAGCTGTCGTTTGCGACGGCGATTGAGGCCTGGACCAAGGCGGGCTGGCCGGCGAAGCAGCTCACCGCCGGCGCCGCGTTCTACGGCTATTCGGTCACGGCGGCCGAGGACATGTTGAAGACCAACCCCCCGAACCAGTACGCCAAGATGGAAAAGGAGCGCCCCAAGGGAGATCAAGAAGACGAGATGGTTACGGAGCCGTGCTCCAGCGCGCCAAAGGCATATACCGGCATCTGGACGTACAAGAACCTCCGAGGCCAGGGGGTGCTGTCTTCACCTGATGAAGCGAAAGCCCCCTGGGTGAGGACCTTTGATAACAAGACAATGACCCCCTGGTTGTTCAATTCTGAGAGCAAAGTCTTCATCTCGTACGATGACCAGAGGAGTTTGGCGGCCAAGGTCAAGTTTGCCGAGTCCAAGGGCCTGGGCGGCATGATGGTGTGGAGTATCGAGCGGGATTACAACGGCGAGTTGTTGAGTGAGCTCAAGAAGTTTGGGTCCAAGTGATTTGGCTCGATTTCAGGACAAGTGAGATGGAGGGGAGGCGGTTTGGATAGATGCCATGCAGCCGGTCGCCGGCCGACGGGAAGCTACGGAGGAGGACGGGACGATGGAAGATGGCGAGAGTGTAACTTGACTAGCCAGCAATGGAACGAAGGGGAGTACTTGAACTTGTGAACCTGCAATCCAAACCCTCTGTGATGAGCTGTGCCAACGAAAAAAGTCTGAAAATCCCATTTTTTTCAGCTGACCCCTTGAAGCATGACGACTCGTAGTGAAAAACCCCGCGCTTCCAAAGTCGAGGATGTTAAACCGAGTTCTGCTGTTTGGGGCTCCTATACATCGCTAGATGCCCCCCTAAATCAATTCTTCAACCCGTGACGGGCCAATTTCATGGACGAGATCTAGCCCGGCGTGCGGCATAATAAACAGAACTCAAGAATACATCTCTAGGGGAAACACAAACTCAATACTGGCCCATCATTTGAGGTACATACTCGTCCTTAGACCTCCAGGAATGCATAACAACCAAGTGTGGGTGAGCTGAAACAAAGCGCAGGAGAAAGAAAAGAAACCGCCCTCAGATTAGCTCTCTTACGTTCTCAGTGACAACGCGCGACTCGGACCGTAATCCTCGAACGCAATGAACATCGCCGCTGCTGCCTGCAAATTTGGCTTTTTGGACCTTGATCATCATCGGGCTGATAATTCTTTACTCCGTCAATTTCCCCGATCCACCTTTCAGATCATGCCTATCCAGCCTGCTCCGATTGAAAACTATACTTTATCAAGGTCACTGACCTTGCCACGTACCCAACTACGCTCGATGAGCGAGAAAATCGGCTTCGTGGACTAGTCTCTGATACAAAGGCTGTCTGTCATTGCGGCTACTGCGGACATGGCAGGTCTGCAAAGTTTCACGAGGGGAAGGGAATGGGAGCCTGCTCGGATCTCTGTTCTTAGCCTGGTCCTTTGCTCATGGGCGGGTTCTTTGCAAACCCAGCCCGTGGCATCCCTGCTCTGGCGTAGATGTGTTTCGTCATGGCAGGATTTCGTGCTGCCTGCCACCATGTCAAGGCAAGCACTTGCTTGGCTGTGGGTGCGTCCAGGGCGGTGAATCAGCGGGTATACTGCGACACGGCAGATTTTGTATGCCGTAGCAAATAGGTATACTGATTGTCACGGCTGAACTTGTCGTGAGATGAGCTGATGACAACTTTGATAGTGTCGTTTGCGATGAATTAGGGGTGGAAGAAGTTCACGGTAGTCAGTGTGTTGGACGGAAGGGCGGCAAATTGTCGGTGGAAAAAATCTCTATTAAGGAATATGTCCATGAGTAGGCCAGAACAATACAAACGCCAGCCTAATGAGGCAGTATTGAAAGGTTAAAAAATAAAGCTGGTGGTAATTGTGAAAGATTGAAATTGCATCAGCCTCAGAAGAGAAAGGCTGATGAGGCTAAGAGCTAGAAATGTGGCTGATTGTGGCGAGTGCCTTGACTCGTCCCACTTGTTGCTTTCAACACCACGAGACTGGACAAACTTGAAATCGACACCTTCAACAGGCAAACCGCCACAGCTCCATACCCTCACAGTTCGCAGACGCTGGCTACGCGTCAAGAGCCGAAAACATGGTACCATTCACCCCCTCTCCTGCATTGGTAGGTGGACACTTGGCTAACGCATTTTAGGCCCGAAATTCAGAAAAGGCCCAGTCCATGCTCTTTCGCTTTCGCGAAGCCCAAGCTGCAGACCTAGGCATCATCGACGCCGGCCGCGCACGTCGGCCCAAAGGCATTACGGAAGTCGACTCGGTGCCTCTTTGCGAAAAATGGCGCGGCCAGGTGCTCAAGGAGATCTCGCGCAAGGTCTCTCGCATCCACGACCCTGTGTTGAGCGACTACCAGATCCGCGACCTCAACGACGAGATCAACAAGCTCATGCGGGAAAAGCACATGTGGGAAATACAAATACGGAACTTGGGAGGGCCAAATTATATGCGCACAGCAGGAAGGATATACGACGAGGAAGGGCGGGAGATACCAGGCGGTGGGAAAGGGTACAAGTACTTTGGACGGGCGAAGGAGTTGCCTGGCGTCAAGGAGCTGTTTGACGCGGCGAAAGCCAAGGCGGCAAGGAAGGAGGATAAGCCGCTGGAGGACAGGCGCGATCTACGGAAGAATGTGGATGCGGCGTATTATGGGTTCGCGCCGGGTGAAGAGGACGATGCGTTGTTGGCGTATGAGGCGGAGAAGGAGAGGTTGGCCGTGGCGAATTTGCTGAAGAACGGACCGCAGGAACCTCCGGAGGGATGGGAGGCTTTGCCTGGTGACACGGGCGATGGACAGGTTTGGGTTTTGCCGACGATGGAGGAGGTTCAACAGGAACTCATTGAGAGGAGGAGGCAGAAGTTGCTGGATCAGTTGTAGGAATGGTGTTGGGAGATGCCGGACATTTGGGGAAACGTGATGACAATCTTGGCCATGGTGGGTTGTGCACAGCGACGGGCTGAGGGAATATGGCAGAGGCATTCATTACCCTACGAGTTGCTGTGATTTTGCAGCCTTCGCGCCGTTGTGCTGGGACGGTGACGATGTATCCGTCGTCATCGTCGTCGTCGTCGCACAGCCGGTCCGGGCTGAACATGTCGCGATATTTAGTATGCGTTATCCGTGATGAGGCAGTATCTGGAGTTACGGGGCTGTTTTCTAGGCGTTAGCATTTAAGGTTGATCTCGGGGTTAAACTGGGTGGCTTAACGGCGTACATGAAGGATCCGGAGATGAATGGGTCAATTCTAGAAATCATCGAGTGAAATGCTCCGTGAGAAAATGGGGACTTTCGATCAAGTCCCCGGTTTGTTTATAGCCGGACGACCAGGGTCTTGTTTAGTGCGATGGCTTGAGAGGCAGCATTGAGCGTCAATCTAAGGCAATACAACGCCAACTGCAACGTCGTAATATCATTGATCCTTGATTAACCAGACGTGGTCCTCGCGCCTAGCAGGATGCGGCAGCCGGGGTAGTGGCCATGCTCAAGACGATGAACGGGCTGACTGGTTGTGAGCCTCTTCCACGGCAGATTGGTGAATTATTATATGCGAAGTACTCCAGCAAAGTTGACAATGAGACACCGAGTGTCCACTGAAGATGACGAGCGAAACATGTCGATATGCCAAGCTGCAGACGGCCTTTGCTAGCTTCAGGGGTCGCAACCAATGGGCACAGACCGGCCCAATCGTTTGAGAGATGATAACATCGTCGTCGACCAATCGAAGGCTGGAGGGACTTGGCCTGCTTCGCCCCCAGGCTCGAGCTAGCGAGAAATAACCTTTGACAATGACTTCGGGAACTTTGGTACAGACAGAGCACCGAGGACCTGAATTGGCAATATTGAACGCCACACATTTGTCAAATATCGGAAATGAGGAATATTGTCGACGATTGCCTCAAGCGAAACCGTCGTGTGGCAGGCGGGCATCCTCATCACACGGGAAGAAGAGAGCCATTTCCTCCTCGCGTTGTAGATGACGATAAGAATTCATCCGAGCGAGGATGCTTCAGGAGGGGTCCGTCCGGGGCGGCTAGGATTCAGGTGAACGATCAATTGATTGCACTTGGACGGTGTTGGACCCATGGACGAACCCCTGAGGGAATACGGCCAGGAGCATGCATGTGAAGTCTGGCCAACCTTGAACCAGCTCGGCTCCGCTTATGTCTCACCACCCAACCCTTAGCTGGGCCACCGGGCTGGAACGCTCTCGGGACATTGCAATCAGAGTAGGCCAATGTGGTCTAGAGCCGTCGTCGGCTTCCATATGGTATGCAGGCATCGAGACAGGGCTGTGATGAAGGGTCAAGAGTGAAGCGCAAATGACGAGCGGCAGTGCATGTTTTGTTGCTTCTCGAAAAAAACGGATGCCGGGGACAGATGGGCCTAACCTAACCAACGCGCCGTTTTAGCTTCCTCTCGACTCGAACTTCCCATCGTCACCTTCAACCTCGTGTCCAGTCCAACACAGGAAAAGAGGGCCTCGTCGCCACTCGTGTCAGGTCTGCTCTTCTATGATTGCGCTTGTCGTCTGACCGAAGCCCTTCTGTCCACTCTTTTGTTATTTCTTGCCGTTATTTTATATTTTTAATTCCAGCACTCGCCGGTGCATCAGCAACTGCTTTCGCGCGCCAGCCGTGTGTCTTTTCTGTCTCGCCCCAAGAATTCTGCACCAGACCGTTGCATACCCGCCCCAGTCTTTGAGCAGGAAACAATCTTCGGGCTCGTACAGTGAACGGCGCAGTCATTACGACAATCATGCTCGGACAAGACCTCCAACCTCATCAGAGCCACCAGACTCCTTATTAATGCGCTCACGCGCTGCCACCACTCGATATAATAGCCGCTCTCTACGAACAGTGGCGAATCGCCATTCCTTGTCAAATAATTCACCTTGCCTTTAATATGTGAGCTGCGACGACGGCCAACACTGGAGACCGGCACTAATACCCTCGCAGTCTAATTATAATACGCTTCACCAGACCTCAAAATGGTGTCATTCTTTGGATTGAAGCTTGGAAGTGATAGAAAAAAGGCGCAGTACGTTGAATGAGGCTCCGAGTGGACGACAACTCCTAACCCTTGCTGTATTAGAAGCAAACAAGCCCAAGGCAAGGCACCGCCGAAATGGAATCGCTTTGATCGGAACGCTCTTGGCGAGGGTCAATACTTGGAGAAGGACCTCTCGCCACCGCAATTCCCATCCTCAACTTCAAGACCCGGCACCGCAAATTCGACTCGAAGCATGTCCAATTGGCGAGCTGTATTCAAAAATCCGGCAATGACTTCGTCCTTGATCGACCTGGCACCGCCTAAACGACCGCCAAGTACGGGGAGCTTGCGCCATGCTGCTTCACATGTGAACCTTCGACCAGGCATGGCTTTGCCGACTGCCTTGGGGGGCAATGGACTTCGACCCGGAACACCTAGTAGACCATCAGGAGCCAAAAAGGCAGGCTGGGTGAATCCCTTGGACGTTCACTTTTGCAAGAACCCCGCCAATACTCATCCAGGCACGCCCCTAGGACGCAATCCTGTTGTGACGGGCCCCGTTGCTCTAGGTTCCCCGAATAATCCAACGGGCCAGTTTGATTTCGGGCAACATACCGATGGACAGGAAACTAGCAAGAATACCAACAAACATGTTCCATCGGCTACGGCGCACAGTCGCAAGTCGGATGAAGAATTTGTAGCATCAAACCAGTATCCGTCACCGCCGCCGTCAGACACCGGTTCTGAGGGGGCACTCTCACCCATGAATTTGCCCGCCCTCGACAACCATTCGCCGACCAGGAAACGAGATGCCGCCAGTTCTCCGGGGAATGTGGATATGCCGGAGCCGACATCTCCGCCCAGTCCAATGCCACTTGTCCAACCGACAAGTCCTGACCGTCTCGGAGGCCCAATTGTTCGAAATTCGCCGGCACGGCGAGATACGTTTGCCTTTCATCAACCTCGTAGACAAAGTTTTACAAAGGAGTTTGAGGAAGTCCACAGAGCAACAATGATGCATCCGCCAAAGGAAGGATTCAGCGGCAACTTTGCAGATTTCGATTTTGGCGAAAGCGTCATCAGGACCACCAGTACCATGAGCGAGACGGAGGGAGACCCAAGCTTTGAGGCTGCAAGACGGCCGAGTACGTCACCCGAGGCCACCAAGGAGTCGGGTCGTGGACTGGCACCAACAGCTTCAGAACCCATACCATCTTCGTCACTGAAACAGACTGAAAGAGAAGAGTCAAGGCGGCCGGCTCCCACTTATACCCCAGAAGGCCAGGCCACAAACGTGATTGATCAATTACCGAGGTCTCCTAGAGACCGCGCCTTGCGGACATTGGGCCCTCCGCCAGCCGCCGCTGGTGCATACAGAGCACATAGTAATGGGACTGGTATGGGTTTTCCGCAGGGCTTCAAATCTCGTTTCGACTCGGAGAAGTGGTCGCGAGCTACACCTCCGAGACCACTGCAGCCTGTCCTGCCCCCTTCTGTAATACATGATGTTGAAACCGCAGCCATGAGGTCTTTCGGCCCGGCACCCGATTCAGGAATCGGTTATACGAGCAGAGAACCGACACCGAGGCAGACTGAGAAATTGCCTAGTAGCCCCTTCTCCAGACCACCGATGGAAGGAAATTTTCCCATGTCCAAGGGATTGCCACGAGGCCGACGACCAGGACCACCGCCACCACGACCGTCATCTTCCGATGATGATAATGCGTTACCATTTCCGATGTGGTCGGATTTTGACATGTCGGAGCCTCGTCGATCTGCCATGCCCGCGCCTCTGACGCCTAGTCGTCCAAGCCCCAGCCAGGATCCTAGATCTGGCCTATCTACCTCAACATCTGCCGCATCTCCACGCATTCCTAGTCCAACATTTCCATCGTTGGCCAAATCTATTTCCAACTCTAGCGACTCATTCGGCAAATCAATCGACATGGACAACAACGAACCTCTCGGTTCCACCACTCTGGGCGGGTTCCCATCTCTTGATGGACGGCCAAGTACAAGCGGAGGAACAAGCTCCATACGAGTTGAGGCGAAAAAGGCACCACCACGACCAGCGCCGGTTACTCTACCTCCTTCGTCGAACAAGGGTATCCACGCAGGTTTAAGGTCGCCGGTTTTGACAGAGTCCCTTGGAACTTTTATCTGAGGGAGGATGCTGAATGATATGACTTATGGGATTACCTTTTGGGCGGGATACTGGATTACTTTCGTTGACGAGATACAAGACAAGTGGTTAAGGTATCTTTATGATTTCTCAGTATATATTACCTTTAGATATCGACTTTCTACGCATGCTCTCATCACCCCCTTGTTGAACTGTTTATGGGTCTCGCACATGCAAAATCCTCGTCAAGTGGCACATGTAGAGGCCGGCTCCGGCCGCAATGTCTCAACGACCAACAGCGATCACAAAGCTATTGAGGGTGTACATTAAAACAGCGAGCACATTCACTGGCTAGAATCATCTACTTTCTTCAAGGTCTTGATCAAGTTTACCCGACTACAATGACGACTTGTTGTGGTGGCGTATGCTAAGTACTCAAGTGCGCATATGGGCGGCACGTGAAATGGTGTGCTAACTGACTAAGCACCAACCACCACCGACATCGCCCTCATTAACAATCAAGTTTATGAGATGCAATCTCACTTACATCCTGCCGACTCATTCCAAGTGGCCCGTTGCTCAATTCCGTTGACCACTACTTGTCTCTCGGTCAAGTAATCAGAGCCGCTGTGCCATTGCGACAATGGCATCCCGGTCCGCGGTAAACACCCGGCACATCTACAAAGCCCTCACAAGGCCGACATCCGCGCGGCTCATCGGCCTTGCCAGAATCCAAAATGCAGCCTTGTCGTCCTCTCCGCGGGCCAAATCGGGCGCGGCCTCAAACCCGGCCATGGCATTCCCCTGTCTAGACGCCCTGGAAACCAAGTCTGCCACCTTGCAAGCGAGCCGGTCCTCGTCCGGCCCCGAGCCCAGCTACACGTCTGGACCGACGGAGACGTTCCATTGCAAAGATCCGCTGCTCCTCGACTGGGGCGGCATCCTGCCCGAGTTCACCATTGCGTACGAGTCGTGGGGCGCCGTCAACGCAGACAAGTCCAACGTCATCCTGCTTCACACGGGGCTGTCGGCGTCGTCGCACGCCCATTCCACCGAGGCCAACCCCCAGCCCGGCTGGTGGGAGAAGTTCATCGGGCCCGGCGCGCCGCTCGACACGAACAAGTACCACGTCATCTGCACAAACGTCATCGGCGGGTGCCACGGCTCCACGGGGCCCAGCAGCATCGACCCGGGCAACGGCGAGCGCTACGCGACGCGGTTCCCGATCCTGACCATGCAGGACATGGTGCGCGCGCAGTTCCGGCTCCTCGACCACCTGGGCGTGGACAGGCTCCACGCGAGCGTGGGCTCGTCCATGGGCGGCATGCAGTCGCTCGCGGCGGGCGTGCTGTTCCCCCAGCGCGTCGGCCGCATCGTCAGCATCTCGGGCTGCGCGCGCTGCCACCCCTACAGCATCGCCATGCGCCACACCCAGCGGCAGGTCCTCATGATGGACCCCAACTGGAACCGCGGCTTCTACTACGACGCCGTGCCCCCGCACGCGGGCATGAAGCTGGCCCGCGAGAGGACCGCCGCCAGGCCCGCCGCGACGGCACCTACGCCGCCGACGACGCCGCGTGCTCGCTGACCCTGCCGCCCCGGCCGTACGAGGAGCAGCCCGCCAGCGAGGTCGACACCTCGGCGCCCCTGGAGCCCGCCTCGTCGAGGCCCCCCGAGGATCTGGTCCTCGGCCTGGCCGCCCTGAGGGACACGCCGACGCTGGTCCTTGGCGTCGCGAGCGACATACTGTTTCCGGCGTGGCAGCAGCGCGAGATTGCGCAGAGCCTGCGCCTAGCTGGGAACAGGGGCGTCACGCACGTCGAGTTGAGTGAGGAGATGAGTCTCTTTGGACACGATACCTTCTTGTTGGACCTGGAGCATGTTGGCGGGAATGTGAGGATGTTTTTGAATTAGAATAACTGGATTGATAATAAGGGATACGAGTTGGATGTGGTGTCGACGGTGTACACGGGTGGGATCCTGTACTTTTTTATTTTAATTAGCGTGCATAATACTGCGTTTTGATGTATTTTGTACGGAGCATGTACACTTGTTTACCGGGAGGCAATAATGAGCCACCGTCACCTGGGCCTGCGGGATTGGTGCGTACGTTTGCCTCGGATTGATTGTACCCGATGCGTTGGCAGGGTAATTGACTCTTTTTACACTTCACCAGAGTGACATGACGCGAATATTTTGCACATTGAGCTACCGACCACAACGATTGACGTACATGCAGAGACAAAGAAATCCAAGCACTAAATTCGAAACCAACTTTTGTTTTGCCAGCGCTGTTGAAGAGCCAGCGTCACTTCCGTATGCCAAGGCATATATGTTGAAACCATCCACATTCCCCTAGTCGCATCATATCCTACTCCTGGATAAGAACCCCCGCCGACACTTTACAGCCACGTCTTAAAAATCTTGATGTAGATCATCTTCACAATCTGCACCTCGATGCAGTACAGCAGCAGCTCCGCCACCAAAAACCCAACATACGACGGCGCCGGCTGCTCAAAGCTAAGGCCCCGCTGGACTGGCGGGATCCAAGGGAGCACAAAGCCAATGATCATGATGGCCGTGGTAGACAGGGCAAGGGGCTTGGCGGCCCGAGATTGGATGAATGGGATCTTGGCGGTTCTCAAGAGGTGTACGATGAGTGTTTGCGTGAGAAGACTAGTTTCTTGTCAGATGATTCTGCGGACAGGGGGACTGGAAGCCGTCAAGGGAAAAAGACACGAAACGTACCCTTGGAGGAACCAGTGGGTTTGGAAACGCTTCACGTCGACTGCATTATCGGCGGTTTGGATGCCGTAAAAGAACCAGCCTAGTGAAAAGGTGAGGATGTCGATGACGGAACTAGTTGGGCCGAGGACGACAACAAAGCGAAGGAGATCTGTGGTTGTTAGTTAGGGTGACACGGTTCGATGGAGATGGGTTGATATTACCCCATGTCTTCCAAGTCTTGGGTGTAGCCAAATACTCGGGGTCGACTCGATCCCATGGGATGGCTATCTGGCTAATGTCGTAAAGCAGGTTTTGCGCCAGAATTTGAATACCCAACATCTAAGACCTGTCAGTTTGATTCCCGTCTGCCGTCGGCGGAGAAAAGACGCACCGGAGTGAACGGAAGCCAAGCAGAAGCTACAAGCATACTGAAGACGTTGCCAAAGTTGGAAGAAGCCACCATCTACACGTCGTTAGTGCCGCTCGACTAAACCGCGGTCCAGAATATCCCACCTTGATGTACTTGATAGTGTTGCCATGGGTGAGACGACCAGTTGTCACACTGGTAACAATAATGCCCAATCCCTTCTCCGTCAGAATCAGATCTGCACAATCCTTGGCAACACTCGCTCCAGAGTCAACCGAGATGCCCACATCGGCCTTTCGCAGTGCAATACAGTCGTTGATGCCATCGCCAAGCATTCCAACACAATGGCCCGCCTTTCGCAAACTGCCGATAACAAGAGCCTTTTGGTTGGGCGTCAGCTTAGCAAAAACCTTGCAGGTCTTGACAACATTATCGAATTCATCGGTGTCTTCCAGAAGCGATAGTTCGGGTCCAGTGATGGCTTGCAAGTCGTCGTCTTCGGAGCCCTCATCGCGGCCAATGAGGTCAAGACGCTGACAGACGTTGACGGCCACAGGGAGCGCGTCACCTGTGAGTACCTTGATCTCGACACCAAGCTTCTTCAGCTGGGCAATTGATTCGGCAGCATCATCCTTCGGTGGGTCGATGAAGCTAATCATGCCTTCGAGGACCATGCTGGACTCAAGTTCGTGCAGACCATCCTCGTCTTCCCTGCTGATGTCGCCGATTTGCTTCATTGCGACCAAGAGGACACGGTATCCGTCCTTGTTAAGAGAATTCACTCGCTCTAAGAGAGTCTGCTTGATCTGGAAATCAAGGGGAAGGGCAACACCACCTTGTCGGACCATGCTGCACACACGTAGGACTTCTTCAAAGGCGCCCTTGCAAATGAGCAGGTTGGCTCCGGTAATACCCTTGACAACGCAGGCGGACCTGCGGCGCTCAAAGTTGAAGGGGATTGCGGCAACATTTTCGTATTGAGCGGTGTTGACACGGCAGCCGTCGGGCATTCGATAGTCCAAGATGGCGCCGTCAATATTGTTACCGTTGGAACCTTGCACCACCGCATCGACAGTAGCCAGTTTCAGGACATTAACATTGCTATCGCCGTTGCAATCGAGGTATTGACACAGGGTGATTTCGTCCTTGGTCAGGGTTCCCGTCTGTCCGTGTTAGCGCTCGACATTCTTACTTCGTAAGGAGAGTGTATTCACCTTGTCACTGCAGAGGACAGTCATGGCACCCAAATTCTGAACCGAATCGAGTCGCTTGGAGATGGCCTTCATCTTGGAGAGTACATAGGCACCGCGGGCGAGGTTGGCATTGACGATGGCGGGAAGCATTTCGGGAACCAATCCAACGGCCACACTGATGCTGTAGAGAGCAGCGGCGTCCCAATCCTTGGTAGTATACCCAGAAATACCCAGCACCTAAGAAAATTGAGTAACTCATTTGCATCGTTTTCCAGGACGATAACTTACCAGTGGAACCATGGTGAGCATGAAACCAATCAGCATGTAGCTAACGTGTCGAATACCCAGCTGGAAAGAGTTGGGTTCACGTCGCTTCTTGAGTTCTTTGGCCATGCTTGCAATCAAGACATCTGCGCCAGTTCGAAGAACCAAGGCAACTCCATTACCCGAGATAACACTTGTTCCCATGAACGCAATGTTGCTGAGATCGAAAAGGGTTGTGCCTTTCTCGCCAGATACGCTGGGGGTCTTGGGTACCGGGTCGTTTTCCCCAGTCCATGTCGACTGACTAACTCGAAGAAAGCTGGCTTCCAAAATCAAGCAGTCGGCAGGCATGACAGAACCGGGCGAAAGAACCACAACGTCTCCAGGAACAAGATCCTGTTCGGCAACGGTCTTGCTGCTAGCCTCGCTACTGGGAGTGGACACTTTTTGGCTCAGAGACATGTTTGGCTGGCGACGAACATCGAGATTACAGGAAACCGATGCCTGGAGCTTGAAGACTGCCAAGCTGCTTCGATACTCTTGCCAGAAGCGAACAGCTACGGAGATGATGACCATGACAAGCAAGACGGTGAAGCCTTTCTACAGATGATGGAGTTAGCAAATGTCATGTTTACTTTCTTGTCCGCCAAGAGCAAATGCGAACAAAATACATACCCAATCTCCAGGAGGAATAGCAGCATTGATGATGGCGAGGGCAATTAGCAGGATATTGAAGGGGTTCGGGATGGTCTTGAGAAGGGTGATGAACCAAGAAGGAGCCGTATGGGTTGGTAGCACGTTAGGCCCCTTGATGGATCGGCGGGCATCAGCCTCTTCGTCAGTCAGTCCATCCTTGTGAGTCTGCAAATGGTCGAGTACCATGTCAGGATCCATTCCTGCAAAGGCCGTCAAAATAGCCTCCGCAGAGGTGTCCGCGGCCAACGAAGGGAGGCTAAGCCATGACATGTTGGCAGGCCATGAAGCCGTTCGGGAGAGTCCAAATCGAGAAGCCAGTCCGCGGACTAGACCAGTCTTGCCAGCCTTGCTGGAAACGTTGGAGAGAAAGGGCATTTTGATGCTGGTCCTACGACAGGCAAAAGGGTCTTCATGCCAGTATAGGTGTTTTCGAAAGACAGTGTCGGAAAGACCAAAATGGTTTGATCAAATGAAAGGCACTGAATGATGATTGTCACCGAAGATAGACCCTATGGTGGTTGGAAAGGAGTCGGTTGGAGTTGGGATCCAACAGTCGCCGCCACGACTGCTTGAACTTGGCTCACAGTAGCCTCCAGTGTTGCGATAATAACAGCTCAACCGAGTGAGCTGTAAGCGAGCAAAGTGGTGAGAGTGAAGAATGAGAAAAAAATGACGAGGCGCTTTAATTGTAACTTGCAGATATTGCTAACTTTATGTAGGTTAGATTAATGGGGATGAAATGATGGCTTTCCTTGGAGTCTATACTAGATATCGTCGAAGGGAAAGAGGAAGCTTCGGCTGGCAAAAGGATGTCGTTCCACAAGCGGCGCGGTCTGGTGTTTATGAAAAGAAAATTTCCCCTGTCGACACCAAGCCCGTGCTAGCCTTGTACTACCACACTCTATGGCCTGATGGGCCCAGCTAAAACTCAAAGCTAGGGTGCTGCCGAACATTAAAGTGACTCAGGAAATGCTGCCCAGGCGTGCCGGGCATAGCCACCACATTTTTTTGGCTCGTTTGCCCCAGTCTAGACACGCACACGGCCATTATCAGGCCCATTCGAAAATAAGATGAAAAATTCTTTGCCCTCGCTCAGTTCAATAGAGTAGCGGGGCAAAAATCCGCACATACATACATATGTAATTCTTTCGCGTGGCGTTGGGCTTGGGGTACGGAGACTTGGCGGCGTCCAGGTCGATGGGTCGTACGGAGTACAGAAGAATCAGTTCCTCGTTGAATCGCCGGCGGCTTGCATGAGCATCCGAAGTCACCAGTCTTGGCATATTGTTTCTCACTCCGGAGTCAAACCCGATGGCCTGTGGTGACGGCGGATGACTTGCCCAAGTGCAATCCTCAGTGGTGTATATACACACATGAAGGCATGTAATCGTCTTTCCCGTACACGGGGCCGGACGATTTGCCATGTTGGTATCATCTCGACAGCGTTTGCACTTCGTGTGCTTGTCCCTGAGATTCTCTGCGCGCCACCTCTTCTGCTCGAAAAGGGTCTGGTCCCTTGGCTTCCAAGACGCTAGGAATTTGAGCACGGTGGCAGTGCTGGGGGAAGCGCAAACGTATGTACTCCGTACACGGGTCGACGTCGTGCGAGGTAGGCTCAGGTAGCCGATGCAACCAACCCAACTGGTTCGGCGCCATTGCCGGAGTGGGGGACGGGATGGAGGTGATGATGGCCATGAGGGCGATGAGGGCGATGATTGCCTGGCATTGGCTACAAGTGGTACGTATCTGGCCTCGACCTCCATGGCCCTTCGGTGTGCCGCCAGCCAGCCCGATTCTCCAAAGGTTCCTTATTGCCGCAGTGGAGGGGGAGTGGATGCACTTGGTGAACCGAATCTCTGGTCCAGACAGTGGAATCCCCTGCATTACGACTACCCTTGCGACCACCTATTGTAATTATCCGTGTCTCTCCGACGCCGTACAAGTTCGGCAGGATCACGATTGCCTCAGCTCTGGCTATCATGGCGGTTGGTCCAGGATTTTCCTAGGCCTACGGCGGTAGTTGGTCAGTTCACTATCGACAGTGACGAACCAACAGGATGTGGACGAAAATTACACGTCCGTTGGAATGGCTTACCTCCAAATTCTGACCAACAATGTGCTACATGCGGCTGGCACCGGTGAGCATGGACAGATGGTTACACCATCGCCTTACGCTTAATTTCTTCTTTATATCCGGAGAGGCTGTTACACACGTCCTCTCTGTTGGCTTTGACTGTGTCAGGGCCCTCCCTGTCTAGGCACTCAACGAGGCTGTGTGGTCGAACGAACGGTTGCGGTCACTAGCTCGGTCACTTTCCGTCTTGGTTGGATTGTCTGATATGAGGTTTTTTTTTTCGAGCATCAAAAAAATATTTCTAAACGTATCCGACGGGATCGATCGAGGCTCCAGATCTGTCCTCAGCCCACAATGGTGATGAACTTGCACGGCTCACAATCTGAGAATCGCAACATGGTCAAAGTAGCCAGATAGCGGACATGGTATGAACTCGATGGTTTGCAAGTTTCAACTGGCAGCTTCACGATTGATCGACCCCTGCTGACCGAAACTCCTCCCTGCTTTGTTCACAATAGTGAGCGGCGTACAGCGGTGCAGAATAGTGACACGAATTTTGGATACTGAGCAAACTTGCTAGGTAGCTCTCAGCTTCGGGGCAACTTGGATGCCGGGATTCAATATAACGAGTGCTTGCATCGCACGAAGCGTATGTCGTGTTTGAAAGCATGGCTCCTCAATAGCAGATTGTGCACCGCTTGTGCACGAGCTTACAGGCAGGTAACGCCTGAGGCAACAGCTGCTATACGCGCTCCTTCCTCAGTTGGCATCTGGCATCTGGCATCTGGCACCTGACCAGACATCGGGAAATGCTTTGTGTCCGTTGACGAGCATTAGCAATACTGCCGATATCTTTCCTGGCGGCCCAAAATGTCAAGCTGGCACCTTCTCTGTTGCTTCTGAAGCATTGTGAAGGGCGGCACTACAATCTCCACGTGCAAAGGTTACCAATTTGCTACATATCTCCCTGATTCGACTCGCCCAAATTTATCAACAACTTCTACAACCCGTGTTGCAATGATTTTCCCCGCACTATTCTGCATTTCTTTCAAGTTGCGCTGCCTTCAAATGTTTGTTACCTTGGCTCATTCTACAGAGAGCAGTAAAAGCGTGAATTGCTCGGCGGGCTTACTATTTTTGCTAGGTGCATAAATATATTATATAATAAGTAAATATAAAAAGTTTATATATAATAAATACTTACTAGGTAGGTAGCTAGTAGGGGAATAAGCACACTTAGCAAAAAGAGTGAGCGCGCCGAGCAATTCATGTAAAAGCTGCTAGTCCAAGAAGGTAAGGTGCGACGCGTTGGAGTGCAAATGCTAGCAAATCAAAAGTCATGAACAGGGCAACTGCAGGCCCACTTACATGTATCGACGTGACGTCAGCACATGCTAGCTCAGTCGGTCCACTTGACGTTTCGAAACCAGCTGGCTGCCTGCGAGGATCATTGTCATCCTCCCTCAACACCAAACACACGTAACTCATCCTTCGCTTTTCGCAACCCTTGCGGGTACGTATGCTCTACTTATTAGTGTCTCTAGTCTTCCTGAGCTTCATCATGGCGCACATTGTACCAAATCTTTTGCTCACCCGGTTCCGTCAAATGCCCTTTCCACCTCAAAACCGCGAAACACCAGAACCTCGACCGTCCGACAAGACCGATGCAGACGATGGAACCTACCATCCAACCCCCATTGACATTGTTGTCGTGCGTATCATGCTCATCCGCTCTGTGAAACTGCCACCTGACTTGGTCGATGCCATTTTCGACTATGCTGAATACTGGGCTCATTCTACCAACGCAATCGACTACCGGGCAGAACATCAAGAACTTCTGCGGATTAGTGGTGCTTGTAAGAACGAAGATCAATTTCTGGTTAGCCACTCCGTTGCGTTATATCATGGCTACATTGCAGAACTAATTGATCCCATCTTGCTCAGCTTCGTTCGTACCCAGTAGGGTTGACAGGTATCGACGGCCAGGACACCCTGTCCGAAGAGCTGGCCTATGATACTCAAGAGGCGACGCCCCTTCCCAGGGGGACGGATTGCGATGCCAAATATTTTGCAAAATTAGCAAAATACCCAACCCCTCGACTGCTCAACCCAGCGCGCAAAGTTGTCTTTAAGATTAAAAGTCATGATCAAGGGTGGGCTAGTGGAAACGAAGAGAAGGGAACGTACAAGGGGTCATGGACTTGGTTTGAAGCTGGATTAGAAAAGTTTGACGCGGCACAAACAAGTAAGGCCCCCAATCTGTTGACTTGATAACTGCCGAACCGTTGCCAACATTTACCTGCTAGGCGATGCGCAGAGTACGCGAGATGCACCACAAGAAACGCGCGAATCAGACAGTTCCGCTCTCCCTGTGCGCGCACTCCGGGCGGTTTATCCAAAAATTGAGCAATTGCCAAAGAGTGACGACGACGAAAACAAGGAGAAGGAGGATGAGAATGAAAGTGAAGCCGAAGCGAAATATAAATATGTACATCATCTTGAGGCCCAGCCTGAATGGGAAATCCACCGGAACTTGAGGGCAGTAGGTGCTTTGCAAGAACACGTCGTCACCTGGTCATATTTGGATGATATCAAGGCGGAATCAGATGCCGGCAAGGTGCTCGACGATCAGGGACGTGGCCGGGCAACTGGTGACGGATCATTTGTTCGAAGCTTAGTCTTGGGCGATGTCATTACCGTCTGGGGCAAGGCGAGATTTCCAGGATGGGTGAACTGTGGGGATAGCGTGAAAGTGGAAGTTTACTGGGCTGTTTGAGATGTGGCCATGGATTTGAGCGGGTTTGATACGCCAAGTAGCCTTTAATACGTATCGTTCACGAAACATTCAAGGACAGGCCCCATTTTATTCAAATTGAACTGCTCATACTGGTCACATGCAAGCAGTCATGGTTAGACAGCTTCCACGTTCAGCCTCGTCTAGGTCGTCGACTCATCAAGCCTGAAAAGAGAAGTCAAGTCTCAAGAATGGCAGATACTTGAGACCGCGGCTTTGGAGGCTAATTTTCTCGGGGAAGACTAGACCGCGGACTCTTGTGCAGGTGCCGAGACCTTGGCCGATATATCGCCCGCACCTGTTCAATGTTCCGGCCGGGTCCGGGAAAAGCCCCACTGCGCCGATTCCGAGCCCGAGGAGGGGAGCCCGCCGGTTACTCTACGACCTCCGTGCCATTGTGCCGTTGTGCCGTTTCGTTCCAACCACAGAATAGACTGCTGATTGCCAAGCGCAAGGCGAAGAGTAGAGTACCTCGCTTCAAGCTCCTTGAAGAAGAAATGCGGGGATCATCCAATTATTGCTTGAGACAGGCGCCGAGGACACGAACGAGGATATAGGACACTGTCTCTAGCATTTTGATACGAAGTCAAAGGTCAGAAAAAATCTACGTCTGGTCGTAGCCTGAATACTTGAGGCCCAATAGTATGAGGGGTTACAGCATCGATTTATCACCACGATCGCATGCGACCAGAGTTCCCAGTGGACAATTCGAAAGACGGGGGAGAGCTCACCATCCACCAAGAGCAGGAGCAACTCCACGGCTGTTCGCTCGGAAGATACAGACAAGAGGCTCGGCTTTTTTAACGAGTCGCTGGACCAGCTCATCAACCACTTCATCACCCTGCATGGTCCCTGTTCCAGGCCAGCCGCGGCTGTGCAGTGGCTGGGATGCATGCTCGCCTTGCCCCCAACGGACACACGCCTGCATCACCTGAAGTGCTGACACTCAGATGCGCTTAAAACCGTGCCTCGTTCCTCTCCCTCTTCCAGCGCACGTTCAGACGTTCGACAATGCCAACGCTATCTACGGACTGTACCGCCGCGGCTCCCTCTCCCTCTCCATGGAAGTGGCTCTGACATTCGGCAGCCTCGGCGACATCATCCAGCTCTGCCAACTCGCCATCCAGCTCGGCCGCGCAGTCGGCGTGGGATGCGGGGCCGCCGGCGGCGGAAGTACCAGGGAATACCAGCATCTCCGGCATGACCTCGACGTCCTGGTGCGGGTGTTGATGCAGGCAAGTTGGCCCCCTTTGTCCGGGGAGAGCTAGCTCCCTTTTTGCTCACCGTGTATGCGCCGTAGGTCGTGGCCACGTACCAGCAGCACGAGCTCTCGCCGTGTCTCCAAGTCCTGGACGATGTGTCCAAGTCGGTCGTCGACGAGTGTGCGAGCCTCATCCAAGACACGCTTCAGCACCTGCGCTCGCGCTACGGGGGCAGTCTCGGCGCAGAAGGATCCGGGAACAAGATCAGGGATATAGTCAAGCGTATTGAGTGGAGCGTGAGAGAGACGCAGAGGCTTGAAAAGCTTCGGGAGAAGTTGCGCGAGGGGGTGCAGAGGCTGTCGCTGCTGACGGGCCTGGCTGCAGAGTGAGCATACCTTCCCCGTACCGTTCTATTTTGTTTTGACTAGAGTGTTGACACTGGCTGCCGTGAAAGGAAATCCGCTCGAGTCGACAACGCGACCGTGTTGGCGCGGATCGATGAGGTTCAGCGGCTGGCGTCGCAGGCGCGAAGCGGCCAGGGGGAAATACTCGCGTTTCTAAAGAAGCATCGCGCCGCGAATGAGGACCAGGGACACAAGCAGATACAAAAACTTGGCGAGGTCTCTCGCCAGCTCGACGTGCAGGAGAAGGGGGGCCGCGCTATTCTAGCGGTGGCTAGGGATGCGTTCCGTGGCATTATCGAGGTCAAGAAGCTTCTGGCACAGGTGTCCCAGAATGTCATTGACTTGCAGGTCGTAGCCTCCAATTCCATATGCATCCGCCCGCTTGATCCCACCAGGGGGGTGCCTGTCATTCTGGAGGACGCCTTGGGACGATCGCTTGAGATCCCAGCTCAGTGGATAGATACTCTGGAGTGGGAGGTGAGCCAAGTGAACCAGATGGATGGAGTGTTTTTTCTTAACCTGCTAACTGATCATGACCTAGGTGCTGAATGGCCTGCTTGCCGGCTACTTCAAAGGCCACAAGGGCCAGGACATGGTTCAAAGGCAGGACTACGCTCTGGAAGAGAGCACGACTGGTCGAGATCTCAACACGTCCTTGCCGCTACGCCGCAGCTTGAGAAGAGGCATGAAGATCAATATGAGCATGATTTTTTACGGCACAGAAGTCGTGGTGGGGGCTTGTCCTCGTTGTCACACGGTGACAGACGCACCGGAAGATGTAAATGTTCAATGGTACGTGCATGTTTACCATCGCCGGGGCACTTTGAGAGCATACACTCATGGGTACTAGCCAAACCGACGACTGCGGTATGTGGTTCCGTATGCAGAAGCAGGTTGTCAAGGCGTGTGGTCTGGCCTCTACCACTGAGGACGGCGACGGCGCTTCTTCCGAGACGCTTGCTGCAGGAGAAGCGACGGCCGTGACGAGCATACCCGTCGAACCGGGAGACTTCCAGAGGGTACGGCTCCTGCGTCAATACGAAGTGCCACCACGGCCCAATGCCCAAGTCGTTGATGCCGAGCTGGCTCCGCCGCCGGCTCCAAGTACTCCGAGCAATGAGCTCGCAGATTCTTCGGATACGGAGCCGATGAGATCAGAGCTTTCTGAATCGGAAGCCTCAGTCCCGGCAGGAGGGTCGAAGCATCGATCAAAGCGAGCTGATACGGGCTCCCTCCCCTCCAACACTTTTGCTCGCGCTGGTGCGGGCCACAAGGACAAACGCTGCGGGTGCACCACAGACATGTTCACCTACGTATACCCCGATGGCCACTCAGAGACCATAGCCAGGCCATCTCTTTGTCCCCAATCCCGCCACGGCTTGCCCTGCCGCAGGAACGTCGTCTTTCAGCACCCGCCGCTTTATATCCCTTTTGGCGTATGCCCGCCGGGAATGGCTCCGCCTCCGCCGCCTCTCCCGGCTCATTATTCTGCGCCGCCTACGTCCGACCGGCGTTTCTACCCGGTCACGCCTGGTCCGGTTCCTTGCTCAGTCCCGTCTGTACAGAACATGCCTTCTGCAGGCTTCGACGCCGATGTGTCTGACCTCTCCTTGCCGCGGAGTAGTAGCCTGCCCCGAAAGTCTCGCTCTCGCGGGTCTGCCGTATACGTTAATGGTGTATGTGTTGATGGTCAAAAACGCCATGCCACTGCCGCAGCGAGGCAGACCCGGCTTCGTGAGCGACCTGTAGCTACTGGCAGCGCGCCTCTGCCAGGCCACGGAGACGCAGGCAGTCGTAACCGGGAAGTTTACAGAGCCCAGGAGCCTCGGAGGGAGAAGAACAGCCGGCGGAAGAGACTCGCGGAGGTGACGCACACGCGGACGACGGACATGGGTGAGGGGAGCGCAACTCTCCGGGACCAGGGACATGGCGCGAACCGAGAGATGGCGGCAGGATCGGTAGTGGTTCCGCCTCAGGCGAACTGGTATAGGCATAGGCCTCTCGGGGGGCAAGGCAGGGAGGAGGAGGCACAGCGGAGGCGACTGATGGAGCGCATGATGCCTAGGAGGCGGGCGACGGTAGAACCGGCAAGTCAACGTCGGAGAAAGGTGGCCGATAATGATGGCGTGTACAGGTGGGAGTGATAGTTTGTATTTTTGCTTTGAGGTAGGGGAGTCGAGGTGCTTTATGGTGTGCGGGGGCAAGATAGTTTGTTGTGATATCAGGTGCCTGATGGGAAATTTGGCAGGGTAGGATATTTATCATGATTGATGGGCTTTTTTATACAATGACCTTGTATTACTTGAAGATGGTATGAGTATGTGATAACAGAAGTATGCATGGTGGGATGGCCGCCAAACTATACGGGTGATGCCCGTGATGCCCGTTTGGAAACTACATTGAGGGATACTGGTAACGATGCTGTAGTGGGATTTCTGTTGAACATCTGTGCTGAACCTGGTGCGTGATGTCTCGACTAGCCACTTGAGATTCTGGTCTTGGTCTTTGACGCCCTTTGCCACTGCGCTTCAGCTTTCAAGACAGCCGTCATGCACCTGGCATATTTGGCCTTGATGTCGTAGCATTGGTAAGTAGATTGAGGAAAGAAGACGCAAGGGCATTACTTGCACAACGGTATACTTGGCTGAGGAGGTGGACCACGCAAGCGCCTTGCTGCCGAGACACGCCGCAGTGTAATTATTTGCATCTGGCTAGATTGTTTACACCATTTGTATTTGAGACTAGGTGTCGCGGGTTCGTCATTATCCGATGAGTGTATATCCTCCGTGGCAGTGTGGTCACGGAACGGGCGGCATCCCAGACGGAGAGCATATTTTTACCGTACATGTAGGATAATTACATGTAGTATGCTACGATGAGTATGGATCTGACAATGGCTCCGACAATTGACGGATGCGCTGGAGGAACTGGTCCACTTGCAGCAGGGCGAGGAAGCCATGGATAGGCCCAGTACTGGCATACCATCGCAACATTGAAGTTACATGTACTATGAGTGCAGAGCATGTAGCAGAGTTGGGAAGGGAGGAGAGGGAGCAGGGCCGCCTGGAAGAGATTTGGAATAACGCGGGTACCTCTTGAGTACGGTAAAGTGCAATTGATCTCTTGTATCTAGTCCAGTGCCCTTGTTCACTTACTATTTCCACCTTTTTTGGTTCAGAAAGCTGCTGGTTGGAGTACTTGGGACGGCTAGCAGTACGTATATCATGACTCATAACAGATACGCGGGCATGCGTACACCTTTATCTCTTGGTTCTCGCTGCGCAAGAGACTTGGCCTGCACCTTGGCTTACTCAAAGCAATAAAAAACCGAGACTGTCGAGGCCCTAGCCTTGTCCGGCGATTGCTATTTTATAATGGCTGTAGGGAGTACCTGCCCTTGATTTGCCACTTGACGGGTGGATGTTGAAGTGACATCGCTTGCATGGAATCGTGTTGAGAATTGGAGCAGCATGTAGCTGTTCGTGCCTCTGTCCCCACTAATTTCCTAATGTAGTTATTACATTACACCTCGACTCTGGCGTATTATATCAAGACTCAATGCACAATCGTGCCGGCTACAGATGCGTGTTTAGATTGGATAGATGTCCAGTCATTGTGACTGAACTCGTCGAAACGGGAAAACAAGTACAGCACCATGGAAAAGCCTACGAATGTTTGCCAGACGACGTCACGAACGGGCAGGTGATTTGATATGAGACATGTGGCTGATAATGGCTCTGCCAAGAGAATCACTGGATTTTGACTCTTACAAGGATTCGCCGTCTTGGATAGATGAGAAAACAGCGCTGCCCCAACTGGCAGGCATTCAACAGGACGTGAGGAAACTTGGCGAGCAAATGCTTTGCTGCCAACTGCTGGTTAATCCAAGTCGGTTTTTTTAATACTGCAAAAGAGAGTCGAGGTCACGAAAGCATGGCAAATAAAGATTGGGAAAACTAGAGATGTATTGACTTGTGAACACTAGTAGCTTCCCGGATTTTCTATCAAACTATTGCAGCGCACCGTCGTGAAGGTTTTATGCGAACCAAACCACCTGACTAGCTTCTCCAACAATTCCACTGCCGAAAAGGGCCAATATTAAGATGGCTACATCTCCCCGTTGCCCATCCGATGCGTATGGCGCCTTTTCTGTACAACCATGGGTTGCATTTAAAGGTTGACGTTGGTGCAGGGGAGGTTGATGAGACCCTGGAAAGGAGGTTAGCAGCTGTGGATAATGTATAGCTGTCTTTCGAAGTCGACTTACGTTGGAGTTTCCAGTGCAGCAGGCAACCTGGTTGGTGCACTGGTTCTGGATGGGGAGCAGAGCTGTTTCGTAATGTTAGTCGACGGCCACGCTGTTGCGTGCTCGTGGTCCGACTCACCAAGAATGTTGATAGGTTGGCAGTTGCCACCCAGAAGGCCGTCGAGGACACCGCCGCTGTCGCCGCGGTTGCAGCAAGAGAGCTTCTGGTGGTTACCGCACTGGGCGTTGGCATCACCGTAAGAAGGGTGAGGCTTCTTGTGCTCATGGGGAGCAGCCAGGGCGGTGGCAACGGTGGCAGCAGCAACGAGGATCTTGAAGAGAGACATTTTGAAAATGTTGTTTAAGTGAAAGTTGTGAGTGAAAGTAAGCTTGGTAGAACCAAAAAGGTAATTAAGGAATTAGATGGGGAGATGATTGAAAGCTGAGAGAATGTTGCTGTTGTGAGTGAGAGTGAGATGATGGATTGGACGGCGGGAAGCAAGCACTTTATAGATTTCGTCCGACGACGTTTTTTGCCCCCGATCCAAGGGCTTTCGGCCCATCGCCTGCGTGCCTCGCGGCCACAAATGCAGCAAGGCATCTCGCCACGGCCCATCCATCTCATCGCATGCCCCTTGGCCGCCCCTTGCGAGCCCTAACGAGACGGACCAAGGGCAGACACGCAGGCAAAGCATCGGACCGAAACGTCGGTGGCTCTGTCAGACATTCCCATCGTGATTTGTCTGCATTCCTCTGGAGCAAGGGCGGGATGGAAGCTCCGCGAACAGTCGTAGTCGCGCCAGGAGTCGTCTTGGTCGACCCCACGGCCAGAGTAGGGCAACGCTCTACGTGTGAAACTTTGTTTTGACATCAAACCATTGCCGGTATGTGTCGGGCAGAGCAGGCCAAGTCAAACGCCGCGCCGGCTGCCCTTTGGGAATCCAAGGTGGAATGTCACTGGTTCATCTGATGCCTTCACGTGGGGCATCGAGAGAGATCGGCAGAGGAGGCTGTCTCACTCGGCTCGACTCCCTCGTTCCTGACGGACTGGGAGACGCTCGGTACTAGCTAGGCCGGCCTAACTAGGAGCATGTACAAGGGGGGAAAAAATAATATGTCACTACGACAAACAAAAAATTACAACCGCAGGGCGGACAAAAGGGGTCTACCTCGACCCTCCATGGTGATTAATCGTTTGTGGCGCGAATAGACTTTGGCGCCGACATTAGGACAGGTGCTAGCTACCTAGTTAGTAGCATCATTGCATTTGCCTCCGTTGACCTGAATGCGTTTGCTGTCCAACCGGCCGGAATGGGAAATCGTGTAGCTAAACCACCACGACCCCGGCTACGAATCCGTGACGTCTGCCTGACCGCGCCAATAAGACACCACTGATGACCTCGTGCCGCCGCAGTGGCAATGCCGTCTGTACCGTGAGAATAAGAGCTTGTGAATACGAGCAGACGCACTACGGCAAGCTCTGCGAATTCGACCGCCAGAGTGCAACCCTACTGTTTAGACTTGCTGCCGATCATGCTACAACGTCCACCAGCGACGTTGGCGGAAATACAAATTTCCAACCCGCAATTCCAGTGTTTTGTTTCCCATGCTAATTCGCGAAAAGGGCATTCAGAGAAAATTCCCCTGCATACACCAAGCAGCAACTATATTAGCGCTGGGGCGTTGTTTGATAGAGCATGTCCAGCGCCCTGAGACTCGAATCTTATCCGCATTCCCGTTGCTGTTTTCAACGCCTAGTGTCAGTCCGCTCGTCATTGAAGGGATGCATCTTGGAAGCTAGTCACAGCAAGGAGTGGCGAGAACTGCTCTCTGCCGCCAAGGCCAGGGGCAAGACGTGAGCCTCCATGTAACTTGCATCCACTGCAGCGATACTCAACACGGAGGAATGCATTGCCTCTTCTCAGCATGCTCACATAGACAATACCGAGCCAATACTAGTCTTGCAGAGCCGGAAGGCGCCGACCCTGCCGAGTCTGAGACAATCGTCCCTGGAATCTGCTAGTGCGCCAATTAAATAATGATTAGCGGGAATGCTAGGAAATCTAGTTTTGCCAAGATCCATTGATGATGAGAATACATTGTTTACTCACTTTTTAATGTGATCCAAGGGTCTCACTCGTGCTTTGCGTTTATCAGAAAAAGTAGGAGGAATTGATGCCGCATACAATCGCCTCACAAACCGCCGGTTACGGAAAAATCGTATACTTGTAAGCTAACAATCATTCTTTCTTATCTAAACTATGAGAGAATACAGAGCTCATTACCTGCCTGACTGCATTTGTCTTTTGCGTAAATTTACTATCCGCTGAAATATACAAAACCGCGGAGAACAAACAAACTGAAAATAATATTATATTTCGCTACCCTATACCTGAATTGCAAATCCACCTATGGCAGATCGTAGTCCTATCTGGCGGCACCAATTAAAACCCGTTCAATAGTCTCATTCATAATCAAACAACATTGTTTGACTGTCTCAGTCCAACTATTACACCAAGACAGCCCGCCGCGGCCGCCGCGTGCCGTGCAGAGGAGCAGGTGGTTCGCGTAGAATTGTTATGTCTGCAGCACGTAAGTAATCGTCTCATGACCCTGCTTCACGAGAATCATGTCTGATCGTCCCTGTGTCGATGAGTCTGGAGGCGCTGAAGAATTTGACGTGGCTAAACAGTAATATTGTCATCTGAAGCCTATTTTTTAATATCCAATCTAATAATAAACTTGATTAATATTAAAGAAAAAAATCAGAATTCCTTGCTTGAATACAAGTGTTCACTTATCAGACGGCGAGGTCTGCAAGTTCCCTTGTCCCCGGTTTGCTGCTTGCAGCGGTTTTTGCAGTGGCAAAAGTTATGAAGCTAATGTTTCTTTTCTCTACTCCGGAATGTGGGTCTAACCATGGCTGTTTGTTTTCGCATTTCCAATCAGACTCGAACCCTTGCAGCTGAAGATAGGGGTATAAAGAACAATTCTCGCCTCTCTACGCCTCCTTCCTAAAAGCCCCCCTCCTTTGATACGATAATGTTGCTACTGCTTATTTTGCACTGCTACTCCTCAGTATTCATTGGCCAGATTATCGACGGCATCTCAATTCTCGACTCTCACTTGATCCTTGTTCCTTTGGGCTCTTCGCAAATGTGACAACCGTCATCAGGTTTGATCGCTGAACCATGGAGCAAAAAGATCAAGTGATGGCGGCCGTTTTCTGAATTCCAGATATCCAACTTATAAGTATGCTCTTTTGCTTCTCTATGCCTGACGTCGAACTGCTTACATCACGGCGCAAAGTGGCTTGGGACCATCTGTCAAATGGCGAATCAGTAATATGCCTTGAGTGCCTGGCATAGTGTCACGGATGAAAGCTATGAATTGCATTGGACAGTGGACAAGACCTTATATTGAAGCTATCTCGCTGGATGACCTCTGGTATAAAAGCCCTGAATCATCCAGCTAGATAACTTCAATCCAAGGACTCGTCCGCTAGTCAATGCAATCCATACCTTTTATCCGTGACACATAGGTGTGCTGTTTTAAAGGCACACATTTTCTCGAGACTATTCCCACCTTACTAGGTTCTCAAGGATACAGTCCGTAGCAAATTATGTTTGATCACAGACAAACACGCTGTAGTATACTACAGTAAAGAACACGATAGCCAGGTACGTGACTTGGTGGTTATCTATTCCCCCCCCCCGGATTTTGACCAAGCAATCATCAGATGCAAGTCAAATGTACCATGAAATCTTTTAACCCTTTGATACTATAGATACAAGAAGGATACGATGACTTTCCTATCGATACTCACCGCGACTGTCACTACGACTATTGTACCTGGCCCTTGGGCCATGGATCGATAAGACGAAACGAAAGGATACTATAAACGACCGAATCGCCGATTTTTCTGATTATATGCGTGCCTTGATAACTCTGAACATAACGTCCTGTATAGACCCAACAAGACACCTCTTTATCACGCCGTCAATCGATTCTGTGGCCCATATGGCAAGTAATTTGACATACAATTCCCTTCCTATTACGAGACTGCAGTGAAGCATGCAAGATGAACATAGTCGGATGGCTCCGCAGGCGTAGCAAATGCACCGCTCGCCGTTCTTGGTCCCAACTCCCCCTGTACAGTTGCGTCGGTCTATATTAATATAGCAGACTAGACGTAAGATTTCGCAGAAGAGCCGGCTCAAAAAGCTTAACTCTACTTGCTATAAGTTCCAGCTTGGGGAGAACTGAAGTTCAATCTTCGCTATATATTAAACGGTTACAAATGAAAACCAAGGACCTTGAATATTAAAACTATTATTAACTAAAACATGATGCGCTAAGCATTTAGCCCCTGTTATAACATACGTTTAAAGGCTTTGATAATACCGAGGTATCGGCATTCCCACAGGAAAGAGGAGCGGAGAAGAGCAAAATCCAATGTGCGGGCCCAGATTAGACTAAAAGTAGAAATCCCTCGAAACGAGGACGACTTGCCAAATAGTATAAACGGGAAACATGTGGCTCAGGAATGGATACCTGTTACCAGCTTCCGGAAGTATCCTGAAACCCGAAGACCAGCTATAAGACACGATAGGGCGAAACGGGCGGGAAACCAACTCTACTCCTCGTCTTTGGAATGTGCAACGACGACTCGCTTGAGTTTTTTGGATCACTTGTCATATTATCCCACGTCCGAAGGAAATTCAGACAGTGCCTTTCTAACCCTAACCTTCTCAAGTAAGATAAACCTAGCAGATAGTGTTTATCTTCTAGCTGCTTTACTTTGCTATTACTCACAGCTTCCAATATATAACAAAGTATATATTTATAATATATAATATAGTACCTGTCCTTGGCCTGGTACAGCCCAATACTGTTTTAGATTTTACGCTTGCACGATACTTGTATTATGCGTGTAATTTTATTTGACTACAGAACGAAACAACTAAAAATTAATATACAATATTATTCCTTTTTAACTAGCTCCTGAATATCTTACGCGCGTATTATAATAACTTACCATCTTTACTAGTGTGTTGAATATATCCGAAAGCTTTGTATTAAGAACTATATAAGCTGGAGGGCGTTCTAGAACAACTTTCTTCTTCCAAGGCTCTATCATAGTCGTACTCAAAGCTATTCGACAAGACCTGCTCGGACATTGCAAATATCAGTCGGCGTTGGTATTACAAGTTGTGTCAGATCGTAAGTCTAGTTTAGCCAGGTTACAAGGCAAAGGCTCTCCGGACACGGAATCAGGTCCTTTGTAAGCTAACGTACATTATTCGGGGCAGTTGTCGCTGAAGCTCTTTACGATGCCCAGGAACCG